TCAGTTCTGAAAGCCTTTTGGGAAGGCTGGCTCTCACAGTTTCAAGCTCTTGCTCATTTTAGTTTCACTGGGAAATATTCGAAGTTACAGATAAATTCAGGATCTTGGCATTTAATCAAGTCTACAACTGGGTCCAACATGTGTTTTCCAAATGAAAATCCAGTATCCTTGTCCCCCACCCCCATTTCCCAGGCCCTCATCCACGTCTTTGTCTACTGGTAATCCCAAGAACACAAGTGACCTGAATTAGATGGGAGCCCTCTCTAAATAAATTTGAACATTGACTCTCCCTAAATAAACAGAGTGGGCAGAGTCCACTCTGTGATGAAAACAGCCTTTTTTAAATCCTCAGGGGCAAATAGTCAAAGTATAATTTCAAATATATATATATATATATATATATATATATATATATATATATATAACAACATGAAAGAGAACATGGGCTAAAAATGTTTTCCTTCCTAATTTTCTGTCCTTACTTCACAAAGCCATGACAAGGGTCAAATGACATATCATGAAATTGCTCCAGACCAAAAACAAAATTGAACTTGTTTTTGCTGTTGAGATTGGTATTCCTATGTGGGATTTGAATCAATGTTGGTTACGTGTGGAAATATAATTTAAAAACTTTAATATTTTGTGTTTATTTTTAATAACTTTTTCATTTTGAAAATTTTTCTTATTTACAGAGAAGTTTTAAAGATACCATAGTTTCCTATACCCATTACCCAGTCTCCTTCAAAGTTAGCATCTTATATTAGCATCGTACATTGCCATGGTTCATTTGTCAAAACTAAGAAACCGACTGTTACAGTCACTATTTTCTAACTTCCACCCTTCATTCAGTTCAGCAGTCTTTACACTAATGTCTTTTCTCTGTTCCATGATCCCATCCAGGATACATTACATTTAATTGTCACATCTCCATAGCTTTGGTAACAGTTGCCTAGTCTTTCTCATTTTACATGATCTTGATGTTTAGAAGAGTATATTCTGGTATACTGGTCAAGTATTTCATAAAATGTCCCTCAGTTTAAGAATTTGGGTTTCTCTGCTGTTATTCTCCATAGCCTTTTTTTATTGAATTTTATGTAAGCAGATTTACCCAAATGCCTTTTGTAAGTTACTTTAGTTTTAGTACAGAATAGTACATTAAAAATAGGTTCCAATAGGAACCACAGAAAATTAAATGGATCTTGGTGATTATATTACCCTCTGCTTTTCATAAAATTCCTTGCTGTGGAAAGTCTAACTACCTTACACATGTGATTTCTCCAGGTCTCAGTACATCACTGTTAAATCAATACCACCTGATGATTTTTTTTTGCTAAACTATAATAGAAGAACCACAGTGAACTCAGAAGAGAAGTGGTCAAATCTAATGAATTTAAGGTGTATGATGTTAGAATGACTCCATAGTGTAGAAATTCATATGTCAATTGGTTATTCATCTATATAATGGTTTTACTTCTCAAAAATAGCATTTATACTTTAATAAATGTTCAATGAAAAATATTTGATAAATCAAATTAAATTTAGTAAAGCACATTATAAGTAAAATTGATTTATCTTGAAAACTGAATTATTTAATTGATAATACAGTCAAAAATAAAAAGAAATAAGGCAGTGGGGAAAACTCAAGACCTCACTCTCGCCCAGTTCTCTCTCTGTCTTTCACACGTACACACCCATGCACGAACTCACAATTACTCAGTGGAAACTTGATCTAATTTGCATAAGTAAAAGACCATAAAAATTGCACACAAAAACAGCAAACAAGAATGATCATTATATTATTAGAAAAATTACAGAATTTAATCTCAAAAATACTAAAAACTGATTTAATTAAACGACCACTAATCTGGGCACAGTTCAGTTATAAAAAATAAAGTGGATTTCTTTCCCAGATAAAGATTTACAGAGAAATGCAGTGTAACAGAATCAAACCTAATCAAAAAAACTTTTTCCCTCCTCACTTCCATAAGTACAGTTCAGAATCATTTCCGTGTATTTTAGGAAATTGTCATCTTCTCTCCACAGCTACAACTTCCAGGACAACCATCCAGAATCAGGGTAGTGATGGAGTCTAAAAATAAAATTCCACAGTTGCTCTTGCACAGATCACCACACAAACTCATTCACAGGAAGCGACTTGGTTAATAACAAACGTTTACAACTCCCTTGAAGTGCAGGACACAGGCAGAGAAAATGAGACAAAGCTCAATGGCCTTGCCAGCATTCTCCAGTTAATCCTTCAGAGGCCGGCGGCTGTTGTAAAAACCCAACGCAAAGGCGCTGAAAGAGTATTTTAGGTGCCAGAATCTCCTAAATTTTTATAAGTCATGCATTTCAAAATTTAGAGATTAATTTTAGTACTTTCCTGTCATGCATTTAATACCATTTTACCAACATATTTCCCTCAAAGTACTATTACCTTCATGTTATCAGGACAATAATAAATGTGCATATTCATATAGTTTTTTATGCTGGAAGACATAATGAGTGTTTTTCAGGAGGATCTTGCATTTTTTGGGCAGAACTATATCTGATATTTTAAGGAATGTTTCACACAAAATGTAACAGACAAGAATGTGGAAGTGATATATCACTACCTGCTCTGTGTTCTAACAGTATTTTGAATTAGCCACGCAGAAGTTTTCCCATTGCTTTGTATTAGGATAAACCATATAATTTGCAGATATTCATCATTTTGATGTACAAAAATGTTAATTTTCTATGGTTTAACTTCTTACCTTCATATGTACTTGATTTGCTCACAGCTGTAAGCAACTCAAATGCACAAGACTGTACGTTATTTCCCTTTCTCACTCAAGAACATAGAGTTGGAAACTGACAAATAGTAAACATAGAGTAAATGGTCATGACATTTAAATGAATGGATAAGGAAGTAAACTGGAATTCAATACATTTAAAATCCATTGGTAAAGAAAAGAACAATTCTCAACTTTCCTAGGAAAGGACAAATACTACATTCAAAAGAAAGACAAGGGTTTTTGTTTATTTTTTGTTTTGTCTGTGTTTTTAAGTTACATTTGCACAACAGCAAATACTTATATGACTGGCTACGTATTCTAGTCTTCATGTATAAGTTTTCATAGGCAGGTACAGTTTAAAATTGAAACATTTACAGCTCTAGCATTTCTATACTTTTTTACACTCATTTTTCACCGTACAAATGAAAACTATTCCAGTCTTGCCATCTTCTGGAAGATGTGGCATAACAAACATGAGAATCTCTGCATGTAAATATTCATAATATGTGGAACATGACATTAATTTCAAAAGGATTAATAAGTGAAACATTCTTTTCACGATTAGAACGAAGGAAAATAGAATATAGTCCTCTTGGAAAAAAACGTAGAGATTGCGATTTAAGAAACTGGAAATTGCTCAGATAATTTTTTTGTTTTTCCATTTGTAAAGATATCCTTATTGGCACATGCTTTTAAAAAATGATACTCCGGGTACTATTTGTTGCCTATTCATCTGCATGGCTTTCTGTCCAAACAAAACGTACTTTTCCATAGTGGATGACGTGGCTCGTTCAGGGAGTGGAGAGACCAGTCTGGGGGCTCAGGGCAGTGCCAGGCCAAGACAGCGCCCCACCAAAGTGCCCAGTTAGGGATCCTGGCACTGGAGCGCGAACATGGGAGCTCTCCATTTGGAGGCATTGGGACGTTTTAGGAACAATAGGAGATCCCACTCCCAGAACTCATAATGTGTATATCCCACATGTCATCCCTCACAACAACCCTGCAAAATAAGTGTTGTCATACTTATCAGTACTTGCTTGCCTGGCCTTGGACTAGATGGTATGCTCTGGCTTCATGAAGCCAAATGCGGAAGAGACATGAAATAACCAAATAAGGTCCCGAAGACCTCTCGTCTAGCAGGGATAAAGTGCTTTGAAGGAACACACAACCAGACTAAGGGAACAGCACCTGAAGGTGGCTGCTCTTGGATGGCGTGTGTGGCCAAGGAGGGTCTCTCTGAAGAGGGGCCGCCTGTGCAGAGCCCTGAAAGAGGTGTCAGGGTCAGGAGTGCTGATACTGGAGAGAGCCAGGGGACAGCAAGGATGATGCAGGAGACCTACTCATACTAAAGGCTATTTGTTTCTTGTCTGAAATTCGAATTTAATGGGCATCCTGGATTTTTATTTGATAAATCTGGCAACTCTCAGCCGAGGACTCTTTGAGATGGAGGTGAAGAGCAGGGAAAGGGAATTAGCATGTCCAGAGGTGCAGAAACAGAGAGAAACGGTGTGTTCCATGGCACCTGATGTTCTCCAACAATTGTTTACGATACTGAGCACTGGACTTGGTGTGTGGCCATCGCTGCTCTGAGGGCTTTACAAGGATTAATTTGTTTATTCTTCATAAAACATGTGTGGCAGATTATCCTTATTCCCATTTTAAAAATGAGGAATCTGAGACATAAAGAGACAAAGTAATGTATCCAGAACCATGGAAGTGGGAAATGTTGTAGCTAGGATTTTAAACCCAGGATGTCTGGAGTCGGGGGCTGCTGTCTTTTGGGTAGAGAAAAAATTACCTGTTCAAGGTAAGCTTTTAGAAGGCCTTCAGTCATTCTTTAAACGTCAGATCATCCAGCCACAATTCCTATATAAAGTGAAACACCATTTTGTCAAAACTCTGCTTCATAATAGGTTACATGCAGCTGGCTTGCCTCAGCACCTCTCCATACCCCCTCAGGTACTCAGGTCTGGGTATGTCCTCCCATGGTTCCCCTTTGGATTCGAGAATCACCTTGTTCCTGGAATGTGGGATCTGCCCCTCTCTGTTGCTACCTTTGCAACAGGTTATTGGAAGCAAACAAGTGTAGAGCAATTGAGCAAGAACTTCCGGGACACCAACCTTGGAGAAGAAGCAAGGAATGTGGAGTGCCTGTTGACCGTCTAAACAGGACAAAGATAATGATTAATCAAACCTCCGGCAGGTTTAAATGAGATGGGCACTAGGAGTGGGGGCAGTCCTCCTTTCTCGCTGCTCCTCGGGAGCCACCCCACCCTCAGGAACGATGTCTTCTGCGAGGATCTTTTGCCTGGTCCTGAGCCTGGCAGGCACAGTTTGGGTATGGTTTCCTTTGTTTTCTCTTCTCGCTCACTTTCTGGTGTTTATTTCACAAAGAGCTTGCAGGTCTGAGTCGGCTTTCCCTATGTCCTCACCCTGTTAGCTCTCCAAGCTCTGGCCATGCAGGCCAGTTCCCAGGCGGGCTGAGCACCTCAGCAGTGCTGGGTAATATGACCCTAAGACGGAGACTTGGGGGAACGAAGTGTAGAAATGCACAGGGGAAGCTCTAACATATGCAACTCGGGCTTACAACATGGTGGGTTGTTTTGTTTTTTTTTAAGGGAAGATGTCTTTGTTGCTCTAAAGCCTTGAGATAGTTACTGCAAGTTAATAGAAAAAAACATTCACATAGTTACTTAAATCTAATTATTATTTTCTTGCTATCTGTTCAGAATAAGCAGAACAGTGGTTTAATATAGTTTTCCTGAAAGACTGTTTATGTGTTTCTTTTAAGACAAATGCAAAGCAAATTAGTTGTCTTTGTAAATACATTACATAGCAAAGTCAGATGTGATTAGGTAATTAGGCAATATGTTTTCTGGAAGCAACTATATTCTTTTAAGATAATTACTAAATATTGCAATAACTTCTAAAGTTTGACTCCAGGAACCTATAGAAGAGAAACTATTCAACATGGCTTTTGAAACACTTTGATCTTATAAAAAACATGATAAATATGTTTACAAACTCAGTTACATCAAGGTTGTGAATTACTCCAATTTGCTTCTTTTTCTTCACCACTTATAAGCTTTTATACCAGAGCAGAAAAAAAAAAACTAAAGAGGGTCTCTAACTTAATTTCCTCCCTTAAAGTAAAACAAGAAGTAAATATTTTTATGGGAAATAAAACTAGCATAATTTGCTAAGATGATATTTTGTATAATGCATAACTTTCAGTTATTTCTCCCTGTTATTGGCATATTTAATTTTTGTCTGCTTTTATTCTTGCATCATTTATTCTTGTGTCTTGTATCATCTTATTTCTTAGACAAAAAAATTACATTTGTTACTTTAAATAAATTGTTCTTGATTGCTTCAATTAGTATTTATATTATTATTGTTTAGGTATTTTTTAAATGAGATGACAAATGTTAACTAATTATAAGGATAAGCTGTCTGAGATAGTCATGGAGAACAGTGTGGTGGGTGTGGAGGGATGGAGGTGGAGGAGGGCTTGGGGGATACATGACAACAGAAACAATACAGTAAAATAGTCGTAGCAAAATCCTTGTAAGTTGGTGGTACACAGTACAAATAGCTTAAACCTAAACCCTGCATTGATTTGTTAGCATATGAAGTCTTATTAGAATATTTTTTATGTCTTCTTTTACTTCATAGATCACAATAGTTTTTTAAATCTGAACTTCTAATTATAAGGTGTCCAAAAAAAGTTGTCAGTCATGAATCATTATCTATGCTTTCATTCTATTTTTCCTCATTTCAAACACGAAGAATGTATTAGATGAGTGAGCAACCTAAATAGCATTTCTGAGTCTGAACTGGCCACATTTGTGTCCCTGGTAATATTTGCTCAAATTATAGACCCTCAAGGTCATAGCAGAAACTTAAAGAAGTGACAGACATTAAGCCAAGATGGTATAGACATTTTTTCTACTAAAACAAAAAATATAGGAGAAAGAACTTTAAAATTTGTCTGTGATCTATTTCCAGACATTAATGAAAATGAAAAAATAAAATTTAACTAATTTTGTTCATTCAAATAATTTTCCTTCTATAATGGAGCTTTTAAAAGGCCTACCCTTTACTATATGATTTAGTGTCAAACAGTTAAGAAATCCCTACACCTTATCTCCTTTAATTCTTACAGCTTCCAAAAATGGGTTTTAGGGTTTTCATTTGAAAGATAAAAAACAGCTGGGGGGTGTTGAGGGCGGTGGTGATTGTGGGGGGGGAGGGTGGAGGTGAAAATGGAAGAGTAGGTAGGAAAAAAATGGTAATGGAAAAATATAATAAAATAATAAACTAAAATAAAGTCAAATAAAATAAAAATAAGAAACCTGAAGCTTGTAGAGTCCCCAAAGCTGGTGCACTGAACCTCTGGGGAAACCCCTCCTCGTTCTCCGCGTCTGACAGGTATTCCAGTTTCTTTGCCTCTTCTGCTCACTGTTCCTTTCTCTCGCATGTGTGAATGAATACTTAAAGACCACAGAGACGGGTCCAGGTGAATTTTTAACTGAAGGAGGAGGTGTGCGTGGCCCCAGACTTACGGAAAGACAGCAATCTTCCTGCAGAGAGACAGACTGGCCCTTCTGCTCCGACGATGACTGGGTGAGCCATGGGCATGGGGGCGGGGAACCCTTCCTTGTGGTGTGAGAAATGTCCAACCCCAATAGGTTACAGAAAACTTGCTCAATAAGACATAATCTAATGGCTCCTTACATGTTAAATGAAAAGGAACCTAGTCCTGAGAACATAATTTAAATTACCTCCCATACTCTGGTCATTCGTGGGATTAAGAGATTGGATTGTAATTGCATGTTCAGATAGATGCTCAGAATCTGAATATGATGACCCGAAGATTTCATGAGGTCTGGTTTGGCATTGAGAGGGTCCTCAGTACAGAATTTCTCTGATCTCTCAAACAACTTTTGAATCAGTAGATGATCTAAAGGGATTGGGAGTGATAGGGGCTTCATAGAAACCTTCAAAACTGTACTGAACCCAAGAGACAGATCCTTAATGTGTGTAATCTTTTCCTCTTCACTTTCAGAACCAAAAATGCCCTTCTGGCTGCAGAATGAAAGGGTTGATTGATGAAGTTAATCAAGATTTCACAAACAGAATAAATAAGCTCAAAAACTCACTATTTGATTATCAGAAGAACAACAAGGACTCTAACTCAGTGACCAAGACTCTAATTGACCTAGTGAGAGGGGATTTTGCCAATGCTAACAGTAAGTATTACATACATAGTGTTTTGACTTTATAGCACACAACAAAACAACATCAAAAATCCTAAATGTGGTATCTCTTTATAGCAACTGAGGCTATATTCCAAAGTACTTTATGTAAAAACACGTACTGTGTTTCTAAGCTTACATTAAAATGGAAGTGAATTCTTAAGGAAGGGTTTGCAATTTTGTTATTGTATAAAGTAAAAAAGGTCAGGTTAGAATTGTTAAAGATCACAATGGAAGTCAGAATTCTGGATTGAAGACTAGAATTTCAGTGTCTTCTTTCCAAGGGTATGTACTGAAAATAAGATAGGCCCACCCTTTTGAGTAGATATGATTTGTTTCTCTCTTACAGAGGAGGGAACTGAGAGGTCAAGGTACTTCCCTAAAGACACAAAGCAGTCACATCATGGAGTTGAGTGCAACCCAGAGACTCAACTAAGCTGATTATGCAGTTTTAAAAATATTTTTAAATATATAGCCACGTTATGGCTTTCTCACGGGATGAGGGCCAGGGCTAATTAGGACCAGGAAACATCAGGTTTGTTCTGAGCATGGGCAGCAAGTTTAGTGAGTCCCCAGTTCCCGAAGCCTTGCTTGACTCTTTGCATCTTCAGTAGACACTTAAGTAATTTGAAGTCAATGGTGCGGCAGTAATTGGCAAGTGAGTGATCCTGTTGACCCAAATAAAAGGTTAGGAATAATTCAAATCCATGGGTAAGAAGAAAACCACGGTAAGAAAATCCAGGAACACATTTCCCACTAGACCCTGTCTGGTTATCAAGAAAAACACATTACAAGGCACACCAAAAGGCAAAGCGCACGCACTGAAGAGGCAGAGCGAGCATCAGAGCCAGACACAGCAGGGAGGCTGAAATCGTCAGACTGGGAATTTAAAGCAACCAATGACTAATATGCTAAGGATTGTAATGAATGAAGTAGATAACACGCCCATGCAAGAACATGGGCAATGTAAGCAGAGAAATGGAAATCCTAAGAAAGAACTAAAATTAAATGCTACAGATTAAAAATAATAAAACAGAAGCGAAGAATGCCTCTGACAGGCTCATTAGTAGACTGGACATGGCTGAGGAAGGAACCTGTGGGTAAGATGATATATCAATAGAATCTTCAAGAACTTACACATTCATCCTTATACTAGTACGAACCCATAGAATGTACAACAGAAAGAGTGTACTGTAAGGTAAACTGTGAACTCTGGGTGATTATGATGTATCAATGTAGGTTCATCCTTGGTGTAAAAAGAGTACCATTCTAATGAATAATGATAACGAGAGAGACTATGCATGTATAGGGGCAGTGGGTATATAGGAAATCTCTGTACCTTCTCAGTTTCCTTGGAAACTTAAAACTGCTCTGAAAATAAATCAATAAACACACACACAAAGAAAAACAGGAAATTATGAAAACAAAAAATCCAGGACCATGTTTAAATCCCCTGAGTAAGGATATAATAGAATAATTGGAATGTGATAAAGCCAATTATTTTTTAAATTATTTATTTATTTATTTTTAATTTGTAGAGAGAGGGGAAGGGAATGAGAAAGAGAGGGAGAGAAACATCAATATGTGGTTGCCTCTCACCTGGCCCCCACTGGGGACTGGGCCTGCAACCCAGGCATATGCCCTGACTGGGAATTGAACCGTGACCCTTTGGTTTGCAGCCTGCGCTCAATCCACTGAGCTACACCAGCCAGGGCTAAAACCAATTTTTTATCTCTTGATTACACCGTTAAAATTTCAAAGAGATTTTTTTCTTCTGCAATTATTTGGATTACTAATTGCTAGCCGGACACCTTAATTGGCATCCATGATGACAACAGGGCTTAACAGTGTCCAAAAACCAAACGCCTAATAGACTCGCAACTCACAAATTAAATATCCAGAGACCCAACTATTATGAAAATAAAACAGGGAATATTTCTAAGTAGATTTATTTCCTTTTTCTCCATTGGTTGTCACAAGCAGATTACTCAGCAGCTACTTCAATTTTCATATTTTCTATTTCAGACAATGAAAATACATTCAGCCAAGTGTCAGAAGACCTGAGAAGCAGGCTTGAGGTTCTGAAGCGCAAAGTCACAGAACAAGTACAGCACATCCAACTTCTGCAGAAAAATGTCAAGGCTCAGCTGATAGATATGAAACGACTGGAGGTGAGGATGTGGCTCTATCACTGCATTTCCTTATTTTTGAATAGCAGGGAAAGGGAAGACAGTAGTCATTCACTGGAGTGCCTACTACATGTAGAGCAAAGTGTTATATAGCCCTTATTACCTACAAAGCAGGTATTATTCCCCCACCACACAGATGAAGAAAAAAGCTCAGTGATACTAAATAAAATTTCCCAGGGCACATAAAGACTAAATTTCAAAATCAAATATTCAGTCCCTGCTTGCCTTATTCAAGCTCCTGCTACTGCCAAGCCTCTGAGCCCTCAGCCTCACTGATGATCAATTCATTAGTGTTGTTTTTCAGAAGATATAGCAATTTGCTCCACATCTGTTCTAAGACGAATCCAAATTGTTCCTATTGCTTCTCCTGGCCAGCCTTACAATACCCAGCATCTCATCCACTGAGGATACTACATAAATGAAAAACAAAATTTTGGTTTGGTAGATCTCCAAGTCAAAGAAATGAAAACAGTTTCCAAGAAATAAATTAAGTACTAAAAACTCAATAGATATCTTATATTTACTTATATCTACCTTTCTTCCTCTCTCTCCTCCTCTGTTTAGGTGGACATTGACATTAAGATCCGATCTTGCCAAGGGTCTTGCAGTAGGTCTGTAACACGTGGGATAGATCTACAGGACTACGAAGAGCAGCAGAAACAACTTGAACAGATCATGGCCAAGGACTTACTTCCCTCTAAATATAGGCAGAACTTACCACTGTTAAAAATGAGCCCAGCTTTAGAATTGTTTCCCAGAGATTTCAAGAGTCAGCTTCAGACAGCCCCTCCAGAGTGGAGGGCACTAACGGAAATGCAGCAGATGAAAATGGTGTTACAGAGGTCTGGAACAGACGGCACTCTCCGAGGAGACTCTGCACCTTACAGACCAGGACTAGCCCCTGAAAGCCCCAGGAATCCTGAATCTGGTAGTACAGGAAATAGGAAACCTGGGAGCTCTGTACCTAGTGGTACTGGCACTTGGGACCATGAAAGTCTTGGGCCAGATAGCTCAGGGCATGGGTACACCAGGCCTGCAAATGCAGACTGGGGCACATTTGAAGAGGATTCGGGAAGTATAAGTACAGGGTCAAGGAAAGAGCACTACCACACAGGTAAACTGGTCACTTCTGAAGGAGGAAAAGAGCTTCTGATTAGTAATGACAAGGTCAATACTGGTGGCCTGACCACCGGGCATCGTTTTTCATGCTCTAAAACCATCACTAAGACTGTTACAGGTGCTGATGGACGCAAAGAAGTGATCAAAGAAGTGGTAAACTCTGAAGATGGTTCTGACTGTGGGGACGGAATGGATTTAAGCTCATATAGTCTTTCTGGCACGGGTGGCCTAGATGACTTCCGTAGGAGGTTCCCTGAGCATGCTGATTTCTTTGACACTGAATCAACTGGAAAATTGCTCTCGTTACCTGCGTTCAAAGAATTGGAGACAAAGACCCACTCAATGGGCTCAACATCTGACTTAGGGGAAACCAGTTCTCACCACGTCAAAGAAACTTCTTTTGACGTCAGAGGAACTCGTACCACCATGAGAGGCCGTAGTAAAACTCGCACAGCCAGAGGTATCCGCACTTCTCCTTTGGGGAAGCCTTCCCTGACCCTCTAGACTAAGTTAATTATTTTTGCAATGTGCTCCCATGGCACTTTGCACTTCTTTCACAGCCTTTTCTCATGCTTTATTAAAATTACACCTTCTATCTGTTTGTTTTTCATGCTGGACTGTAAGTTCCACAGGGGCAGGGACTTTGTCTATCATGTTCATCTCTGTATTCCCACATACCTAATAGTGCAGAGGGTCACCACTCAATAAATACATGTTAAATGAATGAATCCCACTGAAACTCGATTTTGAGTTTGTTTAACCATTTTTTTTTTACTATTCAAAATGTGCATTGTTGGAGTCATATATTTAGAGTGGCTCTCACTTGAAATTGAGATCAAGTTAAAAACAAGTTATATTAGTGCTAAATGATGCTTAGTTATATTTTCTGGTTACTTGCTATTAATCAGTACATGCAAGTAAAATTCCAAATCCATTGAGGAAATCTCCTTTCCAATTTGTAGGCATAAATGCCACTCATTTGCTTATGATTCATTCCAGTGTAAGTGTACTTTTCCTCCATAGAGGGAAGGAAACAAGGAAGGACAAAAGGAAGGAAGAAAAGAGGGAAGGAAAAAAGGGAAGGGAAGGGTAGGTAGGAAAAGGAAGCCAGTATCTTGCCTTCATTTTAGTCTGGGCCATTCCTATCTTTGTAAAGTGAAATGAGAGTAACTTCTTCCAACCAGCTTAATTTTTTTTTTAGACTGTGATGATGTCCTCCAAACACATCCTTCAGGTGCCCAAAGTGGCCTTTTCAATATCAAGCTACCAGGATCCAGTAAGATTTTTTCAGTTTATTGCGATCAAGAGACCGGTTTGGGAGGATGGCTTTTGATCCAGCAAAGAATGGATGGATCAGTGAATTTTAACCGGACGTGGCAAGACTACAAGAGAGGTTTCGGCAGCCTGAATGACAAGGGAGAAGGAGAATTCTGGCTAGGCAATGAATACCTCCACTTGCTAACCCTGAGAGGCTCCGTCCTTCGGGTTGAATTAGAGGACTGGTCTGGGCACGAGGTACATGCAGAGTATCACGTGAGGGTAGGCTCTGAGGCAGAAGGCTACGCTCTGCAGGTCTCCTCCTATGAGGGCACAGCGGGCGATGCTCTGATTGAGGGTTCTCTGGAGGAAGGCACAGAGTACACTTCTCACGCTGGCATGCAGTTCAGCACCTTTGACAGGGACTCAGACCAGTGGGAAGAGAACTGTGCAGAAGTCTACGGAGGAGGCTGGTGGTACAACAACTGCCAGGCGGCCAATCTCAATGGCATCTATTACCCTGGGGGATTCTATGACCCCAGGAACAACAGTCCTTATGAGATTGAGAACGGGGTGGTCTGGCTGCCCTTCAGAGGGGCAGATTATTCCCTCAGGGCTGCCCGCATGAAAATCAGGCCCCTGGCGGCCCAGTAAGCTGACAGACTGGAAACGAAAGCGCTCTGTTTTGTTTAGTGGAGTGGAGAAAAATTAAGGAAGATAAAGGAGTCAAGATTCTCTACAGCCTAAAAATTCCCAGGTGCTATTTTATTATTTTTTTTGTACTGTAGCTAAATGTAACCAAGACATATTAGTGCTTAAAAAAAATAAAGTTATGTGATTTTTAAAAATCTTTAAAGTAGCTCTGTGAGTTTTAAAATTTCTATAAGGATACACCAAGGGGCATTCAATACATCAGAAAGAGGGATTCAGATAAAGGCTCTTCTCTGCCACCCTTGAGGGTGTGGTTTGCAGTACTTCTCTTCCCACACTATTCAAAGTCACAGGGATATTGTAAAGTATGAAAGTCCCCCTGGCCCGTGTGGCTCGGTTGGCTTGATTGTTGTTCTGTAACCAAAAGGTTGTGGGCTTAATTCCTGGTCAGGGCACATACCTAGGTTGTGGGTTCAATCCGCCCACTGGGTATGTATGTGATCCCCAATGTTTCTCTCTCTCCCCCTCCTCTCTCTCTAAAACAATGGAAAAAATGTTGTCTAGTAAGGATTCAGGGAAAAGTTATCTCATATTTCATTGGAATGACTTAAAAACCAATGTTTTAAGTTGCAAAGCACTAAATTTAACAATGGGTGGCTCTTGCAGAAGAATTTCCAAAGTCATTTTATCTCTCCTGCTGGCAAGCACATCCAGGAAGGCGGGACAAGCACTCCATCAGAATAGAAATAGAATCTATTCATAATGAAGTCCACAAAGCACACTTAAGTATTTTCTCCAGAGTCTAACCAATTTCTTTAAAAAATACCTGGAAAAATGCATTCAAATTTTAAAAAATATTTATAAGTATTCCAAAAACAGATGGCATTTACTCACTGGTAAATAATTTTCATAGCATTCATTTTACTTTATTTTTCCACCAATCGTAACATAGACTATATGTTACGATTAGCTGTTATTAAAGTAAAACTTTTGTTTGAAAGCACCTCACTAAATATGATCCATACTATTAATAAATTCAACATATTACATTGGTTAATATTATATTTTGATCAAAGTTGCATCTCTGATCTTGGTGGCCTCAGCTCCTGCTCCCAATTTTTAATTCATGTTTTATTCTAGTGAGTACTATTCTTAAAAATGTATTCAAATATCCCAAGCACGTTGGGATCTCAGTACATTGCACTCAACTGCATAGTGTCTACCCCAGTGTCACTGCATTCATTCTCCTTGTAAGGGACGGAAGGAGAGGGAGGGAGGAATGGACTGATGGGTGAGGGAGGGGGGCAGGCAGGAAAACAAAGAAGGAAGGAAGGGGCTGGGGCCAGGGGCCAGAGCCTGGGGAGCAGAAAAGTGAGCATAAGAACTCGCAAAGAAGTCACACGTGAAGTCTCAGTATTCTTGCTTTTCCTTATGTGCAAATAAAAATCCTTGCTACAAATAAATGATACATCTCCAAATCTTTGGATACTTGCACAAGAACTTCTTCTGAATTAAAAAAAATGTTTCATTTATTTTAGACAATGAAGTTCCATATTATCTCTATGCCCACTGCATAGAAACTCACACATATACCTCCTCAGAATTTGATTTGTAGGAAGAATTGTATTTTCTAGAATATCACACTATTAGGGACAGAATCAGGTCCTCAAAATGAAAGTGATTCTGAATGTGAAGGGTCATTTATTTCTCATTTATTTTGAAGGTTTAGAGTTCATTAGCAAAGAATAGGTAACTTCTTTTAATTTAATAAACAACAGCCAATATTCGTACAATCATGAAATTAGAGGTACAGTTTAATTGTGAGAAAAGACACCAAACATCTGTTTGCCATTTTACCTTACCTTTAACCTATTGCTCTATTTCCTTTGTTCCTGAAATTAAATATTAACTCTAGTTCTCTGATTATCATTTACATGGAAACCCACTTTAATTTGGTTTCCACTTAGTTATCACTCTCTTGAAACTGTTCTCCTTAAAGTCGACAGTAACTTTGTAGTTCTAAAGTTAATGTTCTACATTCCAGACTCTTCTTACTTGGCCTCTTTTAAACATCTGCTACTTCTGTCCCTATCCTTCTGTTCAGTCTATATTTTTTTCATGTCTGGTACATCACTCCTAACCATGTCATTTTTCTTTAGTCTTTTTACCTGGCCAATTCTTTCTTAGACCACTCCTTCAATGGAGCCATTTCTCACTACAATAATATTAGTACTCATTTTTACCAGTTAACATTAGGTTTGACCCACATGGCTTAAGTAAGATAGAAACTTATTTTCTGTCCACAAAAATGTCTACAGGAATATGTCCCCATAGTGTCTTCAGAAAACCATCATCCTGACAAATGGCTTCCATCCTCAGGTTTACCTCATGGTTTAAACCCTATGTGCCATGGAAATCTGGAAGAATAGGAAAGACAGAAGTTAAAACAAGTGCCTTCTCTCTTGGAAGAAAATTTCCTGGATGTTCCGTATGGCACTTCCTCCTATATCCCATTAGCCACAGCTCACTCACATAAACATACCCAGCCACAGGAGAGGCTGGGGCACCTGACTGTTAGCTTAGGTACAGGCTATCCCAATCAAAATTAGGATTCTGTTACTAAGGAAGAGACAGAGAACAGATGTTGGGTAGGCAATTAGCCACTTCGTCAGACTATCTTTTCTCTCCTTGTGTGTGCATTTTCTCCTTGGTCAATTTGACAATCACCATAGTTTCAATTAATCCATAGGCTGATGGATAGCCAAATTGAAAACTTCAGTTCTGACACCCAGATACATGATTTGCACTAATACTGAACACATCCAGTTAGACATTTCTCATTAATTTAAGATGAAACCAATAACCTTTCACCAAAGCCTATTGTATCTTCTCTATTTTTTCTTCTAGTCAGAGGCATCATTAACCTTCCAGTTTTGTAATTTAGAAAATTTGGGCTCCTTCTCAGCTTCTTTATTAAAATTCCTGTAACCAATCTATTCCCAAACCATCTCTTACTCTAGAATTAATCATTCTAACAGCATTTTTGTGTTCTTATGCAATCTTGTGTTATTTTTTTCTGATTTAGGCTGTTCAGTGGTCTCTTAACCTCTTGCTTTACCACTCTTGTTTTGTTCGCCCTCCACAGTTAACTTTTCAAAGATAAACCAAATCGTGGCTTTATCTTGTTTAAGACCTTATCTTAAGGTTGAGTTAAAACAGAATGGAAGAACAAACAAACAAAACAGACATGTAGATGTGGAGAACAAACTGATGGTTGTCAGGAGGGAGGAGGTGTGGGGGGTGAGTCAGAAAAACTGAAGGGGAATAAGATGTACACACTTTCAGGAGTCTTTGGTTATATTCCCAGAAGTGGAATTTCTGGGTCAAAAAGGAATCCTATTTTTAACTTTTTGAGGAAATCCCATTCTGTTTTCCATAGTGGTTCCATCAGCTGCATTCTGACCAAGAGTGCACTAAGGTTTCTTTTCTCCACATCTTCTCCGGCACTTGTTATTTGTTGACTTATTGATGGTAGCCATTCTGACAGGTGTAAGATGATGTCTTATTGTGGTTTTAATTTGCATCTCTCTGATAATTAGTGATATTGAGCATTTTTTTTTCATATGTCTGTGGGCCATCTGTATGTCCTCTTTGGAGAAGTGTCTGTTCAGTTCCTTTGCCCATTTTTTAATTGGATTGGTTTTTTTTTACTTAAACATGAGAATATTATATATAGCATTTAATTTTAATTATTTTTCCCACTGGTATTACTGATCTAATTATACTCTATCGTGAGTTCCTTTTATAACCGACAAAATGCATTTCCCATTTAGTTAGCTGACATGAGAGGCATGGCTGGTGAATTAGAACAAGAACCATCCAGTTAAGTTCATTAATGTCTAATCATGTCTAAAAAAGCCCCAAAGAAAATATTAATACAGGTACACACAGATTACAAAAATAATAAACTAAATATTATTTATACTTGTGTGAAGTAATGCAATATTTACAATATACTGAAACAACTTGAGAAGAAGCAAGACCTAGATTTTGACAGCCATGAATATTGTGCAGGTTGCTTGTAGGTAATGCAGTTTACACAGAAACCATTTTGGAAATATCATATTTTATTTATTGATTGATGCATTTATTGATTAACCCACATCTTACTTTTAATTAAATCCCAAGTACTTTATACAGCTGGTTATAGAGAATAATCTTTAATAGGAGGAGGAAAGGCGAGGGCTTTAAACATCATAGATGGGAGAGTACGGTAAGGAATTTGCGCACTAATTCAAGTGAATTCTCATACAAGAGCCAGACAGTTTGTCTTCCATTTCCACATTGTAAAAGCAACACTTTGAAACCACAGAGGCAAGAGCATTTAAGTTTGAACTGTTAAACAATAGTCAGGTATTAAACAGTGGTCTCGCTGTTCATCAGCTCGGGGGTGAAGGTGGCTACATGTGGATTGCAACAGAGCACTCTAGAAAATATTTGCTAAAGCCACCTTGGACTCTATCTACCACAGGTCAGTGACCTCAAGGTTGCATGCCTACATAAGCTGTTGCAAAACTGCATTGAAAGTATATCCTTTGGAGAGATAAAGCAAATGTTGCAAACAGCTGGTGAATCTAGGTGAAGGACATCAAGGTATTCATTAAACTGTTCTTGTTATTTCTCTGTAAGACTGAAACTGTTGAAAATAAAAAGTTGTTGGAAAACCATACTTCAGTCCATATACAAAACAAAAAACATGTCACCTATTGGTCACACCTTGGTTGCAAAAAAAGAGAGAGAGCACAGTAGTTAATACTGGTACCAGTTGAGACTTGTTGCATAAGCTGCATAAGCATATGATTCTCCCAGTCTAATCACTTAGGAAATAAAATAGTTGAATACACAGAAGGTAGTATCATGTTTCTGATTGCTATCTTACATACAAAAAGGAAAAGCCAAGAATTTATATAAAAGATGATTATGCTAATAGAAAGCTGAAGAAAGAATGTTAAAGATAATTCTCAAAAGATAAATGGTCATTAAACATTTTAAAATCTCTTACTTGCACTAGTAATTAAAGATATAAAAATTAAGTTGTTAATATTTTAATTATAAAATTCAGAATTAGTGGGGGAGGAAAAATAAAAAACATCTGTAATTCTGCATACCAAATGTAAATTGATACAATTTTTCTGAAGTTATTTGGAGATTATATATATATATGTATTTAGCCTTCAGAATGCTAAAACCTGTTATTTTCTTTAGAAATTCTGCTTCTAGGAATTTATTCTAGAAGGAAATAGATAATAGTATATATATATACTACATAAAGACTATACATATGCAAAAATTTAGAAATATACTAATTTCAGTATTATTTCATTAGAAAAAGTTCAGAAAAATCTAAATGTCAAATAATAGAAACTTGCTTAAACAAATAAAGAACATTCACATGATGGGATGTCATATGGCCATTAAAAAGCATATTATAGAAAATAATATTATAGAAAATATCAGATAACATGGAAAATTTTCCACAACATCATGGGATAAATTCAGATACTAAAATATGTACAGAAAAACAAGAAAAACATAAACCAAAATATTAGCTGCTTCCATATTAGTGCTGAAATTATGTGGTTCTATATTTTCCTCTATTTCCCAAAATGTCTACAAATAATAGGTACCACTTGCATTATCTAAAACAACACTTAATGTTGACGAAATACAAAGCAATGCTTCCATTCAATAGGTTGAGCTACAACTGCACAGCAACTCAGTGCGAGGTGGTGCAGAGTTGAGCTCCGGGAGAAGCTGGAGGGGAGGCCCTCCTGTCACTTGCCTCAGGGAGGGGAGGGGTGGACTTTGGGAATGGCAGTCCTGGGTGGGCTGCACCTATACTTCAAAAAACCTGGAAGTCCCACCTAGAGAATCATGGGAGGCTGCAGGCCACCGGAGCTGAAATAGTGGTCCCAGCGTTTGAAGACCATGCTGCTAAACTCCCGTCAAGTCCTGAACTTAGGCAGTGGCCACCTGTGAAGTCACCGTGATTTCAAAGATGATCACTTGCTCTAAATACTGCCTCATGGTCAGCAGTTGAGTGAAAGACGGGCGTCTCGGGTAAATGCAAATGTCGCCAGAATCAATTGTTCCAAAATCTAGCCAGTGACCAGAGTCTCCTGAGGACATTTATTTAAAAACACAGACTCTTAGGTTCTTCCCATGCAGACACTCAGAGGAAATAAACCGGGGTGACACGAGGAAAACTGTGTTTTGAACAAGCTCTGCAGGTGTGGACAATCAGTGTGTGTGATGTTTGGTCCTAAGGCTGAAACAGAAATGCCAGCTGACGGCAGCAGCTGGTGTTGCGCCATCCACACTTCTGCCCCAGGTGGGGAAGTCTGTGCTCAGCTGAAAAGGTGACCCCTTAGTCTCACTGGTCAGCTGCTTTCCTTGGTTCCTGAATGCGGAGGCACTAGAGGTTTACTTCTTGAGTGCCCATATCCTTTATAGTTTGTTACTTCCAGTCTTAGTTGTAAGATAAAGTACATTATACTTCTCATGCCATAGTGTGCGGTTAGGAATTTTCAATTTATCTTTCTAGTATCTTCATAAGAGTCATGAGTTTATCTTTTTAGCTCCTGTTTTATACATTCTAACTAGGGGACACTGCCCTTTTTTATTATATTCACAGCTATGATGCTTGAAAGGGCACAATCAGATATCTAGCATTTCTTATCCAGTGACACCCAAAGAAGGCTCACTTCTTTCCAGGGACCTAGATATGACGTGTCACTCTCCAGTGGTCTCTGTGTTTCTGCTACTTTACATTAACTAAGAACTGACCATCAGATTACTGACTACAGTGGTTTTTCATTGGTGGCTTTACTTTAAGCTCTAGGAATTCTTTAGAAAATCTGCAGACCCTCGGTGAGTACTAAGGGGGTTAACAAAGGTCAGAGAGGCACTGTCCTTGGGTGGAGCTCCTGTCATCTGCCACCCACAATTCAGTGGGCTTTGGATATTGTCAGTCCTTCCACGAAAGTTCTACTTTCAAGCATTTCACATTCTGAGTTTCTGTCTGTGCCTTTATTGGAAAGTGGGTTCTATGTATTTAAAAATAGGATACTTAAGATCTTGATAATCATTGGATTAATCATCGAATATTTATGAAATTATGAAAATCGGCCTTTCTGATGGGCTGACTCTGGAATCACAGATGCAGAAAAGCTCACTCCTAGTGAAGGAGGAAGGTATGTATAGCAGATAAATAAGAGAGACTTGAACACAAAGAATGATTTGCCAGATGGATTTGGAGGAAAGATACTGTTAACAATGGGAGTATCCTAGGAAAAGGGCCTGACCTTTCCAGGCATGGCGAAAAATTCACTGTGACAGGAAGGCGGATGTGTGGTGGGGGTGGGGCCCAGGGCAGTGCTGGGACCATTTGCAATGCCAGCTGAGGAATTTTGACTTAAAATCTAGATAAAAGGGAAATAACATTGAGCAGGAAAGTAACTTGGTCAGAATTTTCTATTACCGTATTAGGACATTACGCTCAGTAACAGAATAAAAGATAAACGTAGTTAGAGGTATAAGAAGACCAGGTGAAAGTTGAAATTGGATTTGATGGGGAACTAAGAGAGTGACAGCATTTCCATGACAAAAATTAACTAGCTTTTTCATGCAGGGGTGTCCGACCTGCAGCCCAGGATGGTTGTGAATACAGCCCCAAACAAAGTCATAGATTTACTTGAACTGTTATGAGATTTTTTGGAGATTAAGTGTTGCGATGTATTTAATGTGTGATCCAAGACAACTCTTTTTCTTCCAATGTGGCCCAGAGATGCCAGTAGGTTGGACCCCCCTGAAGGTTAAGAGGATGAACCTCAGGACCACGAGTTTCCAAGAAAACCAATGGCAGTGGTGCTGAGTTAAAGAAAGGGGACCTAGGGTCATAGAGTTGCCCAGGGCAGCAGGAGCAAACTGATGGGAGAATACAAGGTAAACAAATGTTGAGTTGATACATTCAGTGCTTGGGAAGACATGGGAAAAAAAGTTCACATCTACTTCAGTTCCGGTGTAACTATGTGAAAACCAAAAACCGGATTGAAGCCAGTCAGCCTAGTTTCTAGGGGAATAGGCAACTGCGTCTTCCTACCTCACTATTTCCCCCCAAAAACCAAGTGGTAAAGACTGAATCTTATTTTTCCTTTTGGGACCTCTGACCCCAAAGTCTGGCTGAGGGCCAGAGCAGTGGTTTTCCATGTCGCAGAGTGAGATTTTCCAACTTTGGATGCTCAGTGCCAGCTTATGAGCTACTTAAGGTTGTGAATACTTCTCTTTTCTTGAAAGCTCAATGCCTAATTCACTGACCGTCTGGATTACAAAATAAGAAAACATTACTTTATTGGGACAGAGACTAGTTTAATTGATAAGTCTTTTTGAAAGTTGTCTGTGATAGACCTTACATAAATAAATAGAGTTTTCAAAGTGGACAGTCATACATAAGCTTTTAGTTTGCCTCATCGTTTTTCTACAACAAGGATAGAAAACTCCTTTTCCTAACTTGAAACTTTTCACAATCAACTGGAACTGAAAGTCCACACGGACTGTCCACAATTACCCTTTGGGTTACTGCTTGGTGGGAAACATAAACGAAGCGCACAAAAGAAAATGGTGTGCTAACTTTAATGTCATTTACCCTAAATAAGATTTCCAAAAAGCCACACGCACAGCCTTCTGACAGTTTGAGAGGGATATAATATATGAAAGAAAATGCCAATGACATAATATAAAAAAATGTTGTTACACGTGGAAGAATAAAAATCTGTTTGGGGGACTACTGTTGTGGGAAGTAGGGCCTGATCTTCATAGACATCTTCTTCATCGAATACCAGGACCCCTTCCAGTTCATCCAGACCACTCCATCATCTGTGCCGTGTTTGGCCATGTCCCAGCTGTAGTGTCCACCCCAGTAGTATCTGCCATTTGGATTGGCTGCATGACATCTGTTATACCACCATCCACCACCATCCTCTTTAGAGCACTGTTTCCTGGGGTCTGCGTTTGTCCTGAAAGGAAATGCGTTTGGGGTCATTACAACTGCAGGGCTGTCCAGTTAATTCAATGCAAAGGGGATGCTGTGCACTGTACCCCTTCCCTCTGGTTCTATAAATAAAGTCACCCTACCACATCAAAGACCTTCTCTGCCCTCGAGCAAGGAAGGGAGAGAACCAGGACTGTGTGGTGAATTCATCTATATTCATTACTTTATATTGAAATGATAGCTTTCCAATCCCTTCGTATTAGAGTACTCTGAAAAACAACCTGAAGCTTTCAAATATATACCCTTCAATATAGAGATATAGAAATTTTTCTGAACACTCACTACTCAGAAGGTAAGAGTGTTCTAATTAAAGTCCTGTCTTTTAGAATTGTATGCCTTTGAATAAGTTACTTAATCTCTCTAAACTTCATCTGTCAGATGAGAACATAAGGGCAACCTTAACAGAATGATGTAGAAAGAGCTTTCTTCAGTGACTGACGCACAGTAACTACCCACAAGAGGAGAGTTATTAACAACATAGCCATCATGAATGATCCCAAGGAACAATATCAGTGCTGGCTTTGACAGCAGGAGGGAAGAACACAGCACGTACCAGCCGTCATTGTCTCTGTCGTAGGTGCTGAAGAACATGCCGTTGTGAATGGTCATGGTTCGGTTTTCTCCCACGAGCTGGGAAGCCCCTTCCATGAGGGCATTGCCGGCTGTGCCCTTGTACTTGCTCACAGAGATCTGGTACTTGTCTGCCTCGTTCTGTACGGTGAACCCTCCGTAGCGCGCTTTCACCTTGTCTCCTTTCCAGTCCTCCATTTCGATCAGAAGTTCTGTGGGGCCTATCTTGGTAAGCTGACTGATTTTATCATTTCCAAGCCAATATTCACCTAAAAAAATAAATAAAATCTCACCAAAAATAAAAACTTTAGAGACTAAAAACTGCCTTTCTTCTCTTCTCTTTCACACTCTTCATAAATTCTTCCGAACCTCCTAAACTCCTAAAACAGACTCCCGACACTGTGTTCCTTTAATGGAAAGAGACCCACTTCTAATCATTTTATTTCACACTCTCAGTGGTTACCTGGGAGGCCACAGTACTTTTTCCCATCTCCATTGGTTGCAACGTTGCCAAAGCCTTGTCTATATGGGTCCCATTTCCTGCCAAAGTCAACGCTGCCATCTTGACGGTTCTGAATTACTGTCCATCCTTTGGGTTAAAGAAAGGAAAAAGAAACAGCACATGTTAAACAATACCAAGTAATGTCACTTTGAGGGAAGCGTCTGAATACTTTGTCTATTGAACTTCTATTATGTCCCTCAATGCTTCGTGCTCCGCAGTAGACAGAACAAGAAAATACGTATGAGAAGGAAGCTCTTAAAATCTTTAAAAACTGTACGTGCTTGATCTCACTCTAAATTGTGAACTATAGATATTTTATAATTTTTAAAATATCAGAGTGATTTCCCAGGTGTGTGGCCCATTGTTAGTTATGTTAAAGCTAAGACTTACTTTCTAATGTTCTGGGGTATTGAAACAATTAGAGAGTACCAGGCCAACAACTATCGACTTACCTCCACCTTCTGTGTTCATGTCGCAGTACACTCTATACGGTTTGACAGAGCTGTGAGGCTGAATGAGATACAGTTCAGATGTTTCACCTCCGTTCCTGACAACTTCCTCACACTCTGCAGCCATAAAGACACACATTACATTCAGGAACTACAACTATTTACTTGGTCTTTAGTCATGCATTTTATAAGATTACATAGGTTCCCCAGGAATGTTTTGTTTTAGACATCAGAGGATACAGTAGAGAAATGGAATCTTTTTACAAAAGAATCTAATTCAGTTTTGACTCATATCTGCTAAGGGGAGGAGAAAGCCCTGCTCCTGAGCTATCTGCCAGATATAAATGGCCAGAACATGTGGGATAAAGAAGCTGCCTCTACTCACTCCTCTGCCATCTATTCAAGCAAGGACGCACAGTGCCATGTGGCGCTACTGCCGTCATCACTCAGCATCCTGCTCACCCAGAGCAAGCAAGTGCACTAGGCGATGTCAGAACACAGCACGCCGGGAACGTGCCCTAATGCCATTAGGATCCGTGGGAGAGAATCCATGGGACTGTTTTTCTGTTACCTTAGTTTTAGAGAGCGTGCGTTCCTCTGAAACTCTCCAAAAATATGTTTAGCAACTAGTTACCTTTGCCAGACACCACAGGAATATTGCAGCTGACAGTGCAGGGGGTGCGGCAGTAGTCCATCTGGACGGACACATCGGATTCCAGTTTCTGTATTTTGCTTCTCAGGTTTTCCAGGATTGAACGGAGCACACGAAGGCTCGTCGGGATGTTACTAGTCAAGGTCTCATCTATATACAATCGGTAGTTTTCCAGGTCTGAGGTGTACTCACTTATGACATTTTCATTTTCTGGAAAGATGAAATTATGTGGGAATAGTTAGCATTTTTCCCCTGATAAAAAAAAATTAAAAGTACTCAACCACACAATTGTGATTCAGACTTTCTGAGAATGAACAAGAGGGCACTGAGCCACCATCAGGCAGTCACGCTATGCAGTTGTACTTGACCCCATGGCATATGCACATTAACATATATTCTAACTAGCGTCCCAGTAATTTACCTGAGGAGTAAGCTAAAAATTGTGCTTACAAATAAATACAATAGGTTGTTTATATCTTTGGTGAGGCAAAAAGAGGAAAGTATTTAGACCTTCCAACTTAGAAGTTATGGAGTGGATATACTACATTTATTTATCCATTTCACATAGGTTTAGCAGAGCCTTCAAATTTACAAAAGAGATGTCATGAATTGTTTGAAAAATCTCCAAATTTGGGGGTGCTGATCACTGAGATGTCAACGCCAGACTCACTCACCAGCTGATTTCTAACCAGCAAGCCCATCATACTCAATTCAGATCTTAAGATTCAAAGGTTAGGTATCATTATTTGCAATACAATTGAGTATATCAGGGACCACCTTCTAATATTCAAAACGTCAAGTGTTAAATATATAAATGCTAACTTTTTAACTCTGTGAATATTCTCTTCTGAGTCACAGGTCTCTCAGAGACTGAAAATGAGGATTCAGAAAAATTTGCCATAGAAAACCATCCTTCCTGACACCACACTGGGAATGCATTGAATGGTGTTTCTCTGACAAGTTGCGTGTGCAGGTGAAAGCATGAGGACTCCAGGGTGACTGGGCCACACAGGACGCCTGTGGGTACCTTTAGCCTGATCCAGAAATGTTATTCTTCTCGCAATCGTACCTTCCCACAGCAGTCTAGCAGTCCCTACTGTTGAACAGAATCAAGTAGAAAAGACAAGGATATCTACCTCTTACTTGTTTCTGCCAGTTTTTCCACATGTCTTTTAGCATATTCATATACTGAAAGGTGTTATACGAGGTCTGGGAAATGGACTCCATATTACTATTTAACTCTTTGACACTGTTTCTGATTGGTCTTTCTTGTTTTACCAGCGTATCTTGCAACTCACATCCTGTAGGACACAACACTCCCTGCAGACAAAGAAAGTATCAGGTGTTAGGTGAAGAATTTGGATTATGTGTATTTGTGAAAATTACACATAGTGAAAATTCAGTGATCATCAGCCAATGATCTTGTCGTTTGCTTTTCTTTCCCTAAGCCCAGAAATTCTAGCGTCATCAGTGTATTCTTGTGAAGATTAAAAATAGATTTTACCACAAAATAAGTGTAAATAGAAATGTAGTAAATTAGTTAAAAATTTCTCACCCAAACAAATGAAATGGGCAAAATACCAAACTAAAGGCAGCACCCATGTGTCTTCATTTGTAATCTTGGGCCCAGACCATAGAAAGAAACCTTCAACCAAAGGCCCAACATGTTTATGTTTTGTGAGTATTTCCAAAGTAAACAAAATAAAAACAGCAGCGACGTGGTCAGTGCAACATGAGGAAGATGTGATGGAGGCGGAGGCTTTCTCTGCATGGGCCACCCACCCACTGCGGGGAGAAACATCCGTGCACCCACCAGGTCTGGGTCAGCGTGGAGGCAGCCCCCAGCGTCAGGGGCTTTTCTCTCCACTTTCTTTTGGTTGGCAGCTGCTTTGGCTGGACGAGCTCGATAGCCGCCTCCGCTGATGGGGGGCGGGGCAGGTCTCAGGATGGGAGCCTCTTCCCTCCTCTTGTCGAGTGGTCGGTGACCACGGGCATCCAAACCGCTCTTCAGAGAACCAAGCAGAAACAAATTGTATTGTGTTATAGAAGGCTTGAGATGTAACTTCTCCAATGTCCTCATTTGATAATTTACATTATCACACGACTGATGATTTGCTTAAGGCCTATCATCTGCCTACATGTTGGTAAGTCAGTAGGTTGCTCAGGTCTTTTTAGTTACAGCAGAAAGAAAAACTGTGCAAAAAGCTATGGTATCTCATGCAGTTTTTAAATTCTCATGCTGCTTGGATTACTAAATTTCTATAATCGTTGTTCATTATTTCCCTGTGTTTAGTTTTTATGATTTGGTGATTGATTTGGGTAACTCCTACATAATAATATCCTCAAGTAGTACAAATTTATTTATAATAGGACAGCCCTTGACTGTACCATGTCTGAAAAGAAATAAGGCATTCTGGAGCTAGACTGCCTGGCTTGGCCCTACCACCTACTACCTTATAAAATCTTGGGCGAGTTATTTTATCTGTACTCATTTCCTTATCTGTAAAAGAGGGAGACTAATAGTATCAGCCATTGAAGATGATTATAAGACTTAAATAAGTTATTGCATATGATACCCTCAGAAGAGCACTTGGCACATAGTAAGTTCATTATTATTTTCACTGCAGTCACACATAACAGGTACTGGAGTTTAAGTGACTTTTTCCACTGCTAATCTGCAATTTTTCGCTCCTATTTTCTATCAATAAAACCACTTGATAAACATTTCTAGTGAAATTTTCTACATAATTGCTCTAGCAAACATCATGATTTTTCATATTTAAAATAATCCTCAAGGTATGTGAATAGCAATTAAAATTATTTGTTAACTTAAAAGGTGTTACACTAAAAGATGATGAAGTGGAAAATATGCATTGCATTATAAAAGGGTTGACTTGGGTTAACTGTATTATGATATGGTTTTTCTCAATAATTATTACCCTTTCAGGTGTAATAACAAATTAAGGGAGGACTAGATTTGAAGCAGAGACTAAGCTTTCTAGTTATTTTGTGAGCCTGAAAGTCCTTCAGTTACTGTCATTTACTTGTTACGTTATAATATTTAACATTTGCTTGGAGGGTGGAAGGCTTTAAACCCAGGTAGGCTGGCTCCTGGTTTCCCTGCTTAACTGCTGGATTTAAACTGTAGTATTTGGTATGTGTGATGGCAATAAAAATAACAATGTGTGAAGATGTGAGGGAAATATACATATTTTATTTCAAAGATGTGGTTTCTCTGTCAGAGCTGGTCTGTTCTAATAGGAATTTTATAAATGTAATTCACCCATATATTACAAATCAATTTATAACAGAAGGAACAATGTTTTCTTTTTATTTCAGAGTGTAGAGGTAGCATTGATAATCTAGCTTTACAAGAGACAAAGAAATAAAAAATATTTTAAAAATTAAACAGGCATTTAGGTTTAAGAAGACCACTTATTAAAATAACTAAAACGTGAAAATCCATTTTGAAGCCTAAACCAGTAAACTGTCTCTGTGGGTATTAGTTTGTGGGCAAGAACATAAAAGCACTTAACCATGTACACTCCACAAACGTTTACACATTCTCCACAATTTCCTTCTCCCATGCAATTAACCAGACAGGGATATTTTTCTGTGTATAGTTTTATAATTAGATTACTTAGAGTCCTTTCAAATTCAACAAGTGATTAAAAATGAAGGACATCTTTAAAAATTATTGTGTACTTGATTTCTAGTGTGATAATTCCATGTTATGTACAAGAAATTTGATCATGATTCATTTGATATTAAAAATAAAAAGCTTTAAATTTTTATTTCCCTAAGTGCATTTCTGTACTTTTGATATCGTAAAACCCATAGAAATAAATCAGCAAAGATAGTACTTAAGGAAAAACTGTTCTATAAATGAATAAATTAAACTGGGCTATATGTCTTGTAATCATTAATAATAATAGTGAATGCAACCCACGTTTTACATGTCCTAATTTGAAAAAACAATGTTGCATTTCTATCCCTGTATTTGATCGATTCTGCTTTTAGACTTAGTTTATAATTTTTATTCATAAATAGCCAATAATTTCAGCAACTATATATGACCCTCCTTCCCCAGGGAGAACCTAGCTACCACAGCATTTTTCTTGTAAAATACTGCTCTTTTGTTATTTTATAGATTGCCAAATTTTGAGATTTTTGTTCCCACAATTTAATAAAGTGTTACTAGAATGAAACAAAGTTCATAGTACTCAGGATAACACCAAATGAGAATAAACACATCTTACCTTAGGTGTGTCGTCTTCATCCTGGGAAAAGGAAAGTGATAAACCAGAAAACAAAAAATTGTTACTTTGTTTTATATGACAAAGACTATGTAACATCATTTAAATAAAATGGGTTCCTGAGATTGACAATTCCATTTCATAATTAAAATAAAGATTGAAACTTCATCAAAATAAATATTCCATATAATAATAGTTATATTTTACATTAATAATATTAGTAATAGTATAGTAATAATTTTTTTCAAATCACCTCATTTTCATAGTCTTGGGACTGAACTACAAAAACACACAATAGTAGCAGTAATAGATGTTTCATGATTTCAAGTTTTTGGAAGTTCCAAGAAACCATCCTTCGCTGGTGAACTTAACTGAGAGCACTTCAATCCTATATATACCTGAATCCCCAGTTAGGTGTGACTTTAAATGGTTAGCTTCTTTAGTTAATGTTTAATTTTTTGGTTCATTTCTTGGCTGAACCATTTTATTGCTTAAGCCACATCTTCCCAGCAAGACTTATTTACTTGTCGTTCAACTGTTCTCTGTTGGCTGGATTAGAAACACTGAAATTCTTCAATTGAGTTCAATGGACAATATGATGGGAAATTAGGACATTCCTAAAAGAGATGTGCATCACATTTCCTGTAAATTAATGTGCATGCTACCTAAACTTACAAAGAATGGGTGAGAAAAAAATACTTTTAACCCACGCACAAAAAAATTGGACTAACTCATAAGGCACCCACTAACCTTGTGAGCTCACTAAAGGTATGGCAAAAATGCTTAGGTTTTGAGTCAATCATGTAACTTAGTTTTAAAATAAGCCATTAAAATTAAGAATAATGTTACATCACTATGTATTTATTAATTGACACTAATCAGAACCACAAAACTACAGTTCATGCAGTGTGCAGTGATGGACAAACATCAAAAAGAATTGTCTCTTCTTTTTTGCTCTGACCACATTTCACATGTTGTTCTTTCTTAATGTAAGCTAAAATTCTCAACAAATTTTCAATAGTATTAAAATAATTAGTAGATCACAGATTCCTGGATCAAAGTCATTATTATAGTGATTGGCTACATAGTTAACATTTTATTCTTAAACCACATATATTTTTTATTTTATATTATTAGATTGTATTGTTTACAAAAACAATACCTTTTTAAATTATTTTATTATTGTTCAATTGCAGTTGTCTGTATTTTCTCCCCACCCCCTCCAAACCCAGCTCCACCCCCCCTTGCTTCCACTCTCCCCCTTGGTTTTGTCCCTGTGTCCTTTACATTAGTTCCTGAAAACTCTTCTCTTCACTGTCCCCTCCCCACTGCCCTCTGGCTGTTGTTAGATTGTTCTTAATTTCAATGACTCTGGTTATATTTTGTTTATTTTTTCTTTTGCATTATGCTAAGTGAAATAAGCCAGGTGGTGAGGGACAAACACCATATGATCTCGCCTTTAACTGGAACATAATCAACATAATCAATAATAAAAAACAAGGTTATCTTAACACTAGTGAGGCCTTCACACATCAGTTTTAAATAGATGTCCAGAAACTGACTGTGGCCCATCTCTTTCCATCATTTCCCAGAAGCCACCAAACTCTCTCACCTTTTCACCTGCGAGCTGTGATCAGGATGAGCCACCCCTCCGAGAATCACTAGGTAACGAAATCCACACCACGGAGCCCCGCAGGCGTGATGCCTGGCAGTATTTTCTGGGTATTTTTGTGTAGAACATGAAACATTCTCATTACATTTTAAAGGGATTTTATTACAAAGATAGCAGGTTTGGGTCAGGGGAGTATGTTTTAAACAATGCTCTGAAGTGGGCTCTGGATGATGGTATGAGACCCATTAAATGTCTTTTTTGTCTCGGTATAGTGTGGGTGGCTTTTCCAAATTCTTTTCACTCAGATTTATAGAAGCAAAGAATTATATTTAAATTAAGTAACACAATTGATTGGATTTTTCTATATTTGTGTACCATTCATTAGTAAGTAAATTGTGTACTTTAAGATTAGTGTAGTTTTCATTTTTCTTAGAAGAATATACAATCTGACTGAAAAAGCAAATGTGTGTATTAATTAAAATAGTGTACAAAGACTTCCCTTCAAAATGTAACTGAGAAAGAGTTTATTTTGATAATCTAGACAGGCTTTTATTTTAATGATATCAGATTCTTGCTGATTTAAAGACATTGATACTATATATCAATTTTACCTCAATAAAAATAATAAAATAAAAGGACTGTGAAGAAGACTAAAATGTGTTTTTTCTTTTGAGGTGATATTATCATGCTATTACTTCATTTTCAAGCACTGACATTTCATCAACTAGCAAAAGAGCCATTATTAAATTTATAGAAGTTTAATTTTTAAAGTTCTTCAAGCATATTACACAATCTTGTACAATATTAAAGGGGAAACTCCTTTACATTCCCACGTTTTCTGATCTGACTGTCATTCTGGCCATTATCAGTAGGAAGGTGGAAGGAAAATGTTAGGATGTATGTTCTGTAAGAGCAGAGACATTCATTCCGCAGGTAGGTTCTCGATAGCGTCCTACGTGACAGGTAGTGTGCTAGGGGCTGGACATACGTTGGTGAGCAAAACAGGCATAGTGGGCATTCCATAAAAACTGGAGAGTGAATGAGTGTACTAGCCTTCTTTGAAACATGCCTCAGAGGCCCAGCTCTGGTCGTCATTTATCTGATTTAATTCTTGAAACCACTGTCATACAGATGATGAAACTGAGGCTAGGAGAAGATGAGTAAGCTACCCAAGGTAAACAAGTAGTAAGTATTTCTACTGGGACCTGACCCAGGTCTACCTGATCTCACAGTCCATGCCCTGTGTCCCTTATACCACATTGCTCAACAAAATACAAACATCATAAAGAGTTCACTGGTACCTTTTTGCTTTGCTTGCTGTCGTTGTTTTGGCTAGCCCATTGTCCTGGGGTGATAGTGTCTCACATTGGCACACTCAGTCCTAGCCTTTATTTTCACCTACTTTTTTACTTTCTTACAAGGCTGTGGGTATGGATAGTCACGTCTGTGTAAGAAGCATGCCTGATGCAGCAATAACTATGAGTTTCTTTAACTCTAGTCCTTGTTAAATATGTTTTTCTGTAGTTATAGACAGCTACACAAACACACTAAACTGCCTAATATTATAAAGTACATTGCCATGTTTTCAAAGAGAAAGAATATATTTGCAGGCATTTTGCTTACTAAATTCCCTAAGTTCTTTGAAAATGTTGATGTGATCAGGGGAGGAGGAAGGGAGTGCTATGTGTTCAGTTATGATTTCAGGTCAATAGTGCAGTGTTCTTCATATTCCCCGATCCCGTTACATAAGTCAAGGGCAGTAAATCAGTGACAGTAAATCATGTGTCTTGTCCAGCAGCTGTCTGGAGTGAAGGGCAGATTTGCAAGCACTGCTGGTCGATGTGCTTGCTGTTGATACTTTTACAATTCATATTGGGCCCAGTTTGTAAGCATGAGGCAGTTTGTGTTTATCATACAAAGCACCTACTTTGTGGCAAGATAGTGTGCTAGGGGCTAAGGATACTTTGGTAACCTGGAAAGGCTGCACCCTTGTACTCCTGAAGTTGTATGTCTAAATGGTGAAGGGCACCAGGGTTTTGCCACGCTACATCTGCCTTTTGGGATAATGATTTTAAGCTGATTTTTAGGAAACAAGAGACTTAGAAAAGGCGATTGACCCTCCCCCTTTTCTGCTCAAGAGATTCAAATGGATAGACTGCCGTAGGAAGAAAACCCTTAGCCTAATTTGAATGAAGTGTGGTAGATAAGAAGACCCTAAGCAGGGACCCAGTTGCTAGATCACCCTTGTCCCATTGAAGCTAAAATTTGCCTGCCGTGTGTGTTCTCTGCGCCTTCCTCAATTACCTGTAAATCGTCCATCTCTATTTTTGAAATTTTAAGACCCCATTTCCTCCTTTCCTCCTTTGTCCAAAATGACACATACACCCAGTTTTGCCTCACTGTCTGGGAATTTTCACGCTTATGTATTAAAACTGATTTCCACATGGTATCTGTCTGTGTTAGTTTATAAGCCTAGCTAAAAGAACTTAGAAGGCAGGAGGAAAACGATTATCTTTTTTTAGTTCTTCCAAGAGGAAGACAGAAAATGAAAAGTACTTATAAGATGTATTACGCCTAAGACAGGGAAAGGTAAGCCTTTGGGAACAATGACTTAAAGCCCTAACCTCCTTCAAAGGGAAGAGGAACTTAAAAGGCAAAAGCTTGTAGACTTGAAACTTACTTGTTTGAATGACAATATGGTTTATATCATACATCTGACACATGGAAGGTATTTGATAGATATCTATTGAGCAAAGTTTGAATGTATAAATGAGTGACTGATTTAATGAATAAAATAAAATACAGTGCTCTTTTTAAATAGGCATAGCTTTTGAGAAATTATGCTAAATCATTGTTAGTCTTTGTGGGTACTTTTCTTGTGACACGTTACTAAATTGTTGTTAGTCTCCATGAGTGTTTTTCTTGTTTTATCCTGAGCCCCCGTTTGAGAACCACTGTCCACAGGGAAGTTAATACTGAAGAGCTGGAGGTCCACTTGGACCAGAGCTTTGATGGGCAAGCCTGAGACCAGGGAGGTGGTAACCACAGTAATATGTTAGCCATTACAATGGGAAAGCAGGGAAGATGGGGATGTGCTAGCTAGCACTATTTCTTGTGGAGAGACTCCCTTTACCAACTTGAAGGATGCCACTCTGTTTTTCTTAAGGGGACTGATTGAAAAGCAGAGCATGGCAACATGGGGAAAATAGGATATTTTCTTCTTCAACCTAAAGCCGATCCCCAAAACTACAGAAAAGGCAGAGATGCTCACCTGCTCGAGTCACATTGGGACTCGAGACCATTAAGGGTGTAATGAACACCTGTGGAGTGCTGCCTGCCCCCTTAGCTTGGAATGACCCCTAAAATGCAGGTGTGGGGCTACAGTGGTCCTATTAGTACTGTAATATTCTGACCCTAGAGCCACAGGTCACTGGGTTAGTAGTTTAGAAGTTTGGGCAATAACCCAAACTTCTAAACTTGATCATTTTATTCTTCTGTCAAATTGATGAGACATCTACTTGTTCTTCTAATAGTACCCACACCCCATTATCTTTTGGTTAGTTAGGCTAAGATTGCTTCTAAGGTTTGCTAAACTAATCCAAGGGGAAAATTAAGATAAAATATTTAGGAATCAGACTGACTATTTTTTAAAGGTATAAATTGCACATGAGAAAGAGAAGCTGGATTTTCAAGCAATACAATAAATGATGAAGTTTTTATACCTAAGTACATAGTACCAGCAGTGAAACTCTATAGAAGATGAAAATTTTTGTTTTATTTTGGAGTGTTTATAATTTTTAAATTTTTTTCACTATTTAATAGCTACTTCTTAAATTATAAATATTTTATGTGAAATGTGCCCAGGATTAGATTAATGACATAATAGACATATTTATATTTTTGAGTCGTTCTATCCAAGAATAAGGTATGCATTTTCATGAATTCAAATATTTTGAAATGTTCCTTAGGTTTTTAAAATCTAAGTCTTGAACATTTTTCACTTACTACTGTTACAAGATGGTTTTCCCCATATACTTTAACTGCATATATGAAAACTATTGATTTTTTAAATATTATTTTTGTACTCAGATACGTTGGTGAGTTCTCTTATTATTTCCAACAGTTTCTCCAGTTGATTTCTTATTTTTTAAGGCACAAAATCATACCGTTTGCAAATAAAAATAGCTTTACTTCATTACTTCTTATTTTACATGACTTATTTCTTCTCTCATGAATAGAACTTTCAGAAAAAAATAAGTGTGGATAACAATGGTGATAGTAAAGATTCTAGTTTTCTGGCTTACTAATGAGGATATTTTTCATATTAATCTATAAACATGATGCTGACTTTTGCTACTATGCTTTTAGAAGAAAACCTAAAATGGCCTAAATTATAACGTAATTTTGTAAAATATTCAAACAATCAAAATACTTTAATCTTCTTCATTATGATGTCAAGAAGTTTTCTGCCAATTAAACCCATTTTTGCAAATCATACATTTTTCAAATAAGTTACTATCCTATAACTTAATATCAAAATTAAGTTTCATTTACACCAACCAAAATTTGGAACTAACTTATCTAAATATAATGAAAAATAATGTGTTTTCTTGAAATTTACTATGATTAAAGAGGCTGACTGTCTTCAGGGAAGCAATTCTCTGCCTTACAGGAAAGGGTTAAGACTGAATTAATGGTTGTTTACAAAGTAGCATCTTTCTAAAGGTGAGCACAGAGCACACACCTACAGATACACACAATTGTGTATTTGAAAGAGAATAAAGAGATTTCTATGTATTGGTGAGATTTTTTTAAAGCAGCTAATTAATCAGGAGAAGACTTGTTTTAAATTTGTGCTATTGGTTTCACACAAACAGGCTTAACAATAGTTACATTAATAAGTTACTCCCCCTGATTTAGGAAAAATCCTCCTACTCTTATGAAGAGCAGCAGTGACCCCTACTGCTCAGCTAAGACATCTCTGGGTGTCAGCCCCAAAGGTAAAGGATTTACTCAAAGGTAAAGGATCCCTTACCTCTTCTGGGTCCTGGATCCTTTTATGAATCCAAAGAAACCTATAGATCGCACCAACAAAACAAAATTTAGGTCCCTATAAACACAAAAGTTGCATATAGCCTACCAAATTTTGCCATGTATAACATGCATTTTTTCCCAAATTTTTGAGGGAAAACTAAGGGCTCACGTTATACCTGGGTAGAGCCTGAAATAACTTGGGTCTGTCATTGTTTTGTAGTTATGTTACTACATAAAATTTCTTGTACCATAATATGTTAAAGAATAATTGCTAAAATATCCTTTATAATACACAAAGATATCTATAAATAAATAAATAATTGAATTTAAAAATTAAAACGCAAGATGTTTTCCCCGAAAGTTTGGGCCAAAAACGTGGGTGTGCATTACACATGGCAAAATACAGTAGGTAACTCATGGATTCTCGAACAAGGTAGCAGGGCCACTGAGCCCTGTCTAAAACGTTAAAGTGTGTAACTCTGTAAATTCAAGAGAGCTTCTAAAAACTAAGAGCATAGTCTAGTCCAAGTTACCAAAAGTATTACAATGTTTTTGTGAGTCTGGGCTTATAAATTTTTTTCCAGGAAGATTAACTAACAAGCTAACAAATCCCAATAGATGATTATGTTTCCATAGATAAACTAGACTCTTCCTTATATTTTTATAACTTACTGCCACTTAAAACCATGTTCTATTGTCCAGTTATTATTGTCTTTGTAATTATATATCTGGTACAGAATATATTTTATAATTATGGCATTTCCTTGCAAGTTCTACCATCTTGCAAGGAAAGAGACCATTGTCAGAGAAAACCAGCTTTAAGCAAAACTCATGCTCAAATTCAGAGTGATTGTACTTTCAGGTATGGTCTTAATGTGTTTAATTAATTAAAAACTAATGAATTTCTAAATGAGGTTATCGATTTACATTGCTGTACTTTTGATAGTTTTCTCCCCCCTCTCAAAATACATTTCGTATGCTCTGAGGACGAGATCAACAGAACTGATTATGGTTAAGAAAAAAGCAGAGTAATAAAGTTCGTTTATTTAAGTTTGTAAACGTCCAAGTCCATCAAATTTTCTTTTCTACACAGAAACACAGTTCGCCCAGGAGCCGCCATTTTTCCAACCCAGGACTCCGCCCCAGAGGCGGCTGGAAAAAGGAAGACCCGCCTCTCGACCCCGGGAGGCCGCGGGCACCGGCGTCCGTGCGGGGAGTTGCGTCACATCCGGGGTCAGCACGCCAGGTTCCGGAAGAGGCTGCACAGTGGTGGTGGTCGTTTCTGCGTTGATGTTTAGTTTCTTTGCTGCCGGAGAGACGGAATACGCAGTAGCATCATGGTGGAGGTAAAGTGACACTCGGGTGCCGAGGACTATTTGTTTTGGGGCTGTTTTGCTTTGTCGGCGGTCGTGGGAGAGTAGCGGCCGGGAGGGGAGGCTCCCTGGCCGAGGTGGGTAGTCTCTCAGGCTTTTCAGAAAGAGAGAGAGAGTGGATGAGAGCACGAGTTGCAGGTGGCGTTGGGGAGGGAAGCCTGAGATAGTGCCCCCAGCCTTTATTTGACCCTTGGGCACTGGAGGTGGGCTCTGTCCTCGGAGGCGGGGCTTCTGTCATCCTCCGACCACTGGTATTTGGCGCCTACGGGGTGTCAGTGAGTCTGTCCTAAGAGATTGGCGGTCTTCTCGGGTGTTCACTTTGTCTCTTACTCCAGCTGTTCCCCCAGAAATATCTGCCATTCTTGGATTTTTGCATCTTTTCTAGCTTGAAAAAACATTATATTAGCCTTGTTTCTCTTTTCTGAGAACTATTTCTTGACTTCTGTTCCTACCCACTGCCATTATCTTAATAAGACCAACATCATCTTTCATCTGGAAAGGTGAATTAGCTCTCAACTGGTCTTTCTTCCATTTTTGTTACAACTCTCCCTCCCCAAAGTAGTGTGTTTAAAAACGTTAGTTGGTCCTCTTTTTCTTTTCTTAATTTACTTAAAACCCTTTACTATGTTATTAGAGAAAAAATACAGACTGTTGCAATGGTCTGAAAAAACCCTTATCTGATCTGGACCTTGTCTATCTTGATCTCAACTTACCCTCTTACGGAATATATACAACTATTCAGCTTCTGGCATTTCCATTACTGAACACCTCTGTACATGGCTTTTTTTCCCCTCTGCCTGGATTGTTTTTACCTATTTCTTTGCAAGGCTCATTCCCTTTCTTTTTAAATGTCACCTCAGAGATCTTTCATAACTATCTTAAGTTCTCGATCCATTCTCTGTCTCAGTGCTTTGTTTATTTTTCATAGTACTTATAAAGATGTGGAATTACTTTGCTTTTTGTGTTTGTTTGTCTCTTTCCTCTTCTCACAGGGACCATGACTGTCTTTTCATCATTCTGTTATTAGCTTCTAGCACAATACCTACCAGACATATAATAATAGCTCAGTAAATTTTTATTGAGTAAATAACTAATCTTAAGCAACACTCAGTTGGTCTACTTGAGGCTCTAGCCAAAGAGGAGCTTTCTCCATTCTCTGAGCTTGACTGCTATAGCTTGCTACACATAGCTATGGTGAGTGGTACAAAGTTTTTTATGTTTGTAAACATGTAATAACTAACTTGACTTTGACTTAGGTTTGATGTGTACAGTTTGTAGCTAGATATGTAATTATACTCTTTCTTTCTAGGAGGTACAGAAGCATTCTGTGCATACACTTGTATTCAGGTCATTGAAGAGGACCCATGACATGTTTGTAGCTGATAATGGAAAACCTGTGCCTTTGGATGAAGAGAGGTAACTGTTGGAATATTTAAACTTTTAATAGTTGGGGAAGAGATTAGGGAGAAGGGAACCTTTTAAGTTTAGTGAGTAACACTAACACACATAGGCTATCTATTCAATAATGAGTGGTGTTAGGGCATAATTGAAGCTGATTTAACTTTTTTTTTGGCCTTATCTATTACATGAATTTATTAATTGAATTTTACAAATACCCAGTAGTTAGGAGAGGGTGTTACGTTTTATAATCAATCACTTTGTATGTGCTTTCAGCTGCCCTCCCGCTGCTCTCAGAGCCTTGCTGAGCTGAAACTGCACCTGGCCAGCACTTCCGCTCCCATCTTTTCTCGTTAGTACGATGAAGATTTTTGAGTGGTGGCATATTTTTGGTTCTACAGCTCCAGCTCCAGTCTGGGATTGCATTATGTGCATCGTTCCTCTTTTGTCCTTACCATTCTTTTAAAATCTGCTTAATTCCTCAAGCAAGCATTTATATTTAATATGTAAATTGAATTATTCATAAAAGTAATATAATAGGTACATTTAAAAAAGATATTGTACTAATTAAGTACTTTGATTAATTCTAACTAACCTTTTTTGCTGTACCCAGTAAGGGTTATTAGAGAGCTTTGACTACATTTTTATATTTAGATATTTGAAGGATAATGTATTGACGCTGAGGTTTTTTTTTAAAGATATATTAGTTTCTACGTATTTAAAAATCAGTTCAACCCTTGATAACTCATCATGAAAGATTTTGTTTACATTTATTGGTTAACAAACTAAAATATTACTTAGACTTAATGGATGCTGCGTGGTGAATTGTGAATAAAAGTGTGGAAATGAACTTGGAAATTTTGAGCTTTTAAAACGCAGTTTAACTTTAAAATATTTATAGAAAATTTTCTACATGATTAGGAAAACTTGATTTAAGTCCTTGTTTCTTGTCTATCTGTGAACATATTTACATTGATGAATATATTTAAAGTACTCAAAAATACATTCTTATGTTTATAACTTTTTAAAATAGTCACAAACGAAAAATGGCAATTAAGCTAAGGAATGAATATGGTCCAGTGTTGCATATGCCCACTTCAAAAGAAAATTTAAAGGAGAAGGGTCCTCAGAATGCATCGGATTCATATGGTCATAAACAATATCCTGCTAATCAAGGTGAGTGTGGCGTTGTCAGAAATGTCAGGACTTGTATGTGAATTTTACAAATAGAGAAATGAAATGTGTTGTTAGTGCCCCTCCTGTAAGGGCTAATTAGAGCCAGACCCTCTTTAACACCCGTACCGGGATTGCATTGGAAGTCCTGATTTCCTCACTGGAGCAGTGAGTGGTTGGTGGTGGAGGTTGGTGATTTTTTTCTTACAGGAAATTTAACAGTGATATTATAATGAGGGCAGAAATTCTTAGGAAATGGACAAGGTCATGATGGAGACTAAAGGAAAAATTCCTAATTTGGGAGGAGACTATCTTTTTCAGAAAGATGACATTAAGTACTGAAATTGTAGTAAATAGAGATAATCCAAGATTCCACAGGGAAACCATTTGCTTAAAAGAAAAACCAGAGTGGTTTATTACTTTATAGGATGATCTCTCTATACACCACTGCATTATAGCGAATGCATAGGCTTTCTTGATATCACGTCAGCTAATGCTTAAGGAAATCACTGTATACATATGATCTTCAGTAGTCAAAAATGATCAACACCTTATTTCTGAGACTTAGGTTTAGTTGTGAAAATTTTACAAATCTGGTTGATAATTTAATATTTAATTCATTAAAAGAGATGCTACTTCCCTGGCTGGTGTGGCTCAGTTGATTGGAGCAGGTTTGATTCCTGGGTGGGGCACATGCCTAAGTTGCAGGTACAAGTCCCAGATGAGGCCACAAACGAAATGCAGCCAATCAGTGTTTCTCTTCCTCTCTCCCTGCCTTTTCATCTCTTGAAAATCAATAAGCATGTTCTTGGATGAGGAGTAAAAAAAAAACTAAGAAGAGATGATACTAGTACATAAAATTAGTTTTGCCATTGATGAATTTCCCTCTCTCTCTCTCTCTCTCCTTTTTTCGAAGGACAAGAAGTTGAGTATTTGGTGACCGGTACACATCCCTATCCACCAGGACCTGGTAAGTGAGCTCCATACTGGTAATGTCTTACTGTCACATGAATTTTCATGAGTGACCTAATAATATGATTCTCATCAACTATAAAATACAAGATAAGTTCAGTAGCTAGGCATCCAGGCACAGCTTTTTAAGTAATTAACTAATACTTAGTATCACAAGCATTCACTTGGCAAACATTCTTAAGCACCTATATTTTTTAGGCACTGTGCCAGAAATTCAAAGACAGTAGTACCGCTCCAGTCTAAGGGAAGCTTATTATTTGGAGGTTTAGGCAGACATGTAAATATCACTAAGCTTATAAAAGTGCTAATAGAAGTTTAGTATAAAAGTGGGTATGATAAAAATGTTTCGTGGGTGTGTGTATGGAGGAATTGGCACACAAATGGAGTGGCCAGATTCATAACAGGATAAAAGCTTAGTATACCTAGGCTCTAGTAATTTTATTTTATTTATAATCTTAACCCAAGTGTATGTTTATTGATTTTAGAAAGAGAAGAGAGAGAGAAACAGACAGACACACATTGATGTGAAAAAGAAACATCAATGGGTTGCCTCCTGTTCACACCCCGACTGGGGATTGAACCCGCAGTCTAGGTGTATGCCCTGACCGGAGCTTGAATCCCCAGCCTTTTGGTATATGAGACAGTGCTCCAACCAACTGAGTCACTCGGCCAGGTGATTCTAGTAATTTCAGAGGACAGGATTTACCATATTGAAAGTACAGGAGAATTAGTGCTTCTTATTGTACAATATACATTTATTCTTCAAAGCATTCTGTTAGTATTTAGGGAAGTGCTTAATTTTTTATCTAATGGTAACATCCCAAGGTTATATAAATTTAACTTTACTGTCTTGGGCTTTGCTAATACCAAGCTGCTTCTGATTAAATCAAATTTGAGTTACATATTGTTGAGCAATATTTGTGGTTAAAAAAAAAGTAGCAAAAGACATGCAAAGTGTAATCAGTTATTGAAATACCACCACTTGGAGATAATCACTATTACTTTTGTGGTATGTGTTCCTCCAGTGTTTTATTTTAAATGCAAATTAAAACAAAGGTAGCTACTAAAAGGATTTTTTTTTTAACTTAACAGGAGTTGCTTTAACAGCAGATACTAAGATCCAAAGAATGCCAAGTGAATCAGCCGCACAGTCCTTAGCTGTGGCACTACCTTCTTCTCAGGCCAGGTATGAAATATTACACTTCTATTATAAAAATTTTGAAAGCATAGTTTACTGTTCACATTTTTTAAATTATTTTTAAATTTGTTTCTTTGTAATTATGTATTACGTGACACTTTATCATTGCTTGCAAAAATGTAACGTATAAAGTTCATTCTGCAGAACATGTGACTGAAAGTAGTAATTACTTAGAATATGTTGTTTTTTGCCTCAGGGTTGATGCAAATCGTAGTGCACCTGCTGGAGGCTCCGACCGTGCACAGCCCGCAGGGATGACTTTGGTAAGTTTCTCTGTCAGATCACATGCAGGTTTGCACCTTGTGGAGCATATTTCCTTACTTCCCTTTATTCTAAGACTCCTACTTTAAATATTAAAAAGAACTTTTGGGGGGGATTGTTCAAGTAATATGCAGCCTGAGCTAATTGTTAATATTTTAGAGCTCTAAAATTTAAGTTGCTAGTGAATTGGCATATTTTTTTAAAATTTAAAATTGTGTTATTTCTTTGTCTACTTACGTGTTATATTTATCTTAATGAAGATGATGTGATGTTGCTTTTTATTGTCTACTGTTAATTATATAAGGAATGTTATTCTGAAACTTGTATTATATGTTTTAGTGATGAAAGCCTTTTTTAAACTAAGTTGATTTATACAACTGGAATTGAGTGCTATTAGAATTGTAATTTCATGAGCTATACCACCAGTGGTATATTAGAGCATTTAGAAATATGTAAGTTTATCGGTAAGTAAATGGTAGTTACTATTATTATTGGTGGAAGTAATTAGAGAAGAATAACTGAAGACATGCCGTCCCTCTAAATCAGTGCAGACTCTGCTTCGTCAGTTGATTTGGCTGTATGAAGTGAGCGCAGGTGTGGTCCTCCCAGTCACACTCCGTTAGTCTCTCTCTGCAGGTCTCCCTGCGCAGGCTTTCTGCCTCCTTAGGAGGAAGAAGTGTTATCTGCTTGAGGGTGGGAGGAACCTCATGAGCTCAAGTATTTTTTTGGATAGATAGACAAATGCTAACAGAAGTTGTATGTTAGATAGAATGCCTTTTAAAATAGTATTGAAATATTTGGGGGGAAGATAAATAGATCTATCAGTCTCTTCATTGCAATATTAAATCAATGACGTTAAAATACGACAATGAAGGGCAATGGCATTAATTCATCTACAGTCACTTAAATAATAATAAGAGCTTACATATAGCATTTACTACTCTGTTAATCGTCATAATAACTGTATCAGGTAGACACTGTTACTTCTTTTTATTTGCATTTTAAAAATGAGGCACATGGTTACATGATTTTTATGCAAGGCCCAACAGCTATTAATTGGCAGACTGGGTCTTGAACTTATGCACAGTGATATATGCTCTTAACTTTACGCTCTTTTTTTTTAAGATTTTACTTATTTATTTATTTTAGAGAGAGGGGAAGGGAGGGAGAAAGAGAGAAAAAGAAACTTCAGTGTGTGAAAGAAACATTGATTGGTTGCCTTTTATGTCAGCCAGGCACCTGACTCACAACTCGAGCATGCGCCTTGACCAGGAATCAAATTGGGAACCTTTCAGTTAGTGGAACGACACCCAACCCACTGAGCCACACCAGTCAGGGCAGTTTTATGCTCCTAAGTTGCATACTCTACCTCCCAGATTTTTAAATTGCTTTTTAAAATTAACATAAAGAAAATACAGTTTTGATTAGAAGTGTTAGACTCATTTTCTAGTTATGCAAACATTTTTAGCTGCCGCTTTCTCTTTATAGAGTGGAAGAACAGCTTTCATAAATCCCCTTTTTGAATTTCCACTTTTGAAAAAACTTCCATAAATCCCCTTTCTTTTTTTTTTTTTTTGATAACATGAAAACTTAAGTATAATAGCTTTAATAGTAATGTAGCTTGTTCCATATCTAGGCTGTTATGGAGGGTGGCAATGCCAAGAACTCTGCACTGATGGCTAAAAAGGCCCCTACGATGCCGAAACCCCAGTGGCACCCACCATGGAAACTCTACAGGGTGAGTGGATCTGTGTACTATTCCACCGTATGAGACGTGATGACTGCTTTCCAGTTGACGAGAGCTGAGTGATAGACTGAGCAGGAAAAGAGTGAACATGACAACCAGTGAAGTGATCCGAGGTGGGATGGGGAAAGGGGATGAAGCTCGATATTAAAAGATATCTTGGAAAGGGTACTTGTATTTTGTATAACATATTAAACAAGTGTTGGCGAGGATGTGGAGAAAAGGGAACCCTAGAGCACTGTTGGTGCATCCCCTGTGGAAGATAGTAAGGAATTTCTTCAAAAAATTAAAAATGGAACTGCCTTTTGACCCAGTGATCCCACTCCTGGGACTATATCCTAAGAATCCAAAAACACCAGTTCAAAAAAATATATGCACCCTTATGTGCATAGCAGCATTATTTACAATAGCCAAGGTCTGGAAATAGGCCAGGTGTCCAACAGCAGATGAGTGGATGAAAAAACTGGTACATTTACATGATGGAATACTGTGTGGCCATTACAAAAAAAAGAAGAAGAAACTCTTACTTTTTGTGACAACATGGGTGGACTTGGAGATTATTACTCTAAGTGAAATAAGCCAGTCAGAGAAAGACAACTACCACATGATCTCCCTTATACGTGGAATCTGATGAACAAAATAAACTGATGAACAAAATAGAGACAGGAATGGATACATGGGACAGACTGACAACTGTTAGAGGGAAGGGGGTGGGGACTGAATAAAAGAAGGTGAAGGGATGCATAATGCATAGACACAGACAACAGTGCGGTCATGGCCAGAGGGACGGGGATGAAGGGGCTGAGTGGAGGAGGGCAAAGGGGCTAAATGGGAGCATGTGTAATAGTGTCAACAATGAAAAAGTAAGTGAAAACCAAAAAAACCCACAACAACAAAAATGTTGATACAAGGCTACTAATTGTGGAGAGCAGACAAAATAAATTTAGCAACATGCTTGAGGTATTTAATATGGATGTCAAGGGAAAAACAATGTATCAGGACATTCCTTTGGCTCTAATGATTACCTTTCAATTGTAGTGAGTTAAAATGATTTAAAATGTACTAAACGTTAAATAAAATGTATGTAGTAGGAAAAGTACAACTACATATAATTTAATATATTCATGTTGAAATTTTTAATTGTCACACAGTAAATAAATGTCTTTTGGTATACAGATGTAACAAACGTTAGTATCTATGTAGGTTGGGTAACCACTACCACAGTCAGGATGTAGAAGTTTTGTACAGCTGCACTCTTCCCCAACTCTGGCAGCCGTTTGTTTTCTGTCACTACACTTGGGTTTTTTCAACTCTGTCATATGAATGGGATCTTCTTTCACTCAGTCTAATGCCTTTGAAATTCATTCAAGTTGTTGCAAGTATTGATTGGTACTTTCCTTTCTATTGTGGAGTAGTATTCCATCGTGTAGAGAGCACAGTTGGTGTATTCAATCACAGATTGAAGATAATATAAGTATTATAGTAATGCTTATTCTAAAATCTGATTGTCAAATAATCTCACAATCTTGTCATTTGAAGATACTGGAGGGGCAATTTAAACTTGAATATTAACTTATATGTAGTGAGTTGAAATTGAGTAACCTTTAACTTTTGTGTCCATTCTGCATTTCTTTTTTATACAGGTGATCAGTGGGCATCTTGGCTGGGTTCGATGCATTGCTGTGGAGCCTGGAAATCAGTGGTTTGTTACTGGGTCTGCTGACAGAACCATAAAGGTAATAAGGAAGGGAATGCGTTGTGTTTGCCATGTGCATTTAATCTGTTTTATTTCTTCTGGTGAGAATTGTTCTTACAGTCCCTGTGATTTCTTAGACCCGAGTGTGGAGTAAAGTTTATTGTCTATGCCAGTTAAAAGTCCCATCTGTTGGAAAAGTGGTGTTTCAGCAGCAGTTTTTTCCCAAATAGAACATGCTGACGACCTACCACAGATTACTTGATACTTAATATTTTTCCTCTTTAGTTACAAAATTAAAGCATGCTCATCTATAAGAAATATGGAAAGTACAGAAAATAGAACATAGATCCATATGTAATCCTACCACTGTCAGATATTAGAATGAATTTCTTTTTAGTGTTTATTTCTGTGCTTCTGTATCATTCCTTTTACTTCTGAGTTTTTTCCTGTTTGTAAAAATGTGTGTCTTTTAAGAGAACGTTGGTTTTTTGCACTTAACATTAATTATATCAAAGGGCCATCTCTGAAAAATCAGTCATCTTTTTAAGTGGTTCCATGGTATTACATCATTTGGATACTTTATAATGTATTCCTGTTACTGGGCATCTTAAGTGTCCTGACTTTCACCATCATAAGTAATGCTGTAATTAATCTTTGTGCCTAAAGCTTTTTCTGGTTTTAAATTATTTTATTACTGATTCCCAGAAATTGAATTAATAGGTCAAATATTTTTGAAGTTGGCACCCCAAGTACAAATTATTTTCTAAAAATGGTGAATTGATACTTAAAGTATATGAGAAGATTCATTTCAGCCTATTAATTGTGTATCTCTAAAAATTATACTTACGATAAGCAGAAGTGGGTATCTTAATTTTTCAAGAACTGTATGTACAAAATTTCTAATAAAAATGAACTTTTTGTTATCTTATAAAGCTACTTCTAGGATTTAAAAAATCCTAGAAGCATAATATCCTCAAGGACCATTTGTGTTTTCATAAATGGCAAGATTTCATTCTTTTTTATGACTGAATAATATTCCCTTGTGTGTGTCTGTGCCACGTTCTGTCTATTTGTCAGTTAATGGACACTTAGGTTGTTTCTATAGGGGTTGTCTAAATGGTTGTCATCTCTGGGTAATTTAATACTACGGTATTCATATTTTTATTACCAGTGTTATCCTATATGTATTAAGAATTTAATCTTTTGTCACCTGTTACAGATATTTCCCCAGTTTGAGCATGCCTTTAATTCTATTTTTTCCTTGCTTTCATTTTTGGTGGTATTCACAGGGAGCATTGTTTTGCAAATTTAAACAATTTTTATGTTTATATCTTTCACATTTTAGAGACCTCATTTTAACATCAGGTTTCTAAAGTTTTGTTTGGGGATAATCAACAAGAAGAAAAATGAAATATTCTTTCATTGCAGATCTGGGACTTGGCTAGTGGCAAATTAAAACTGTCATTGACTGGTCACATTAGTACAGTTCGTGGTGTGATAGTCAGCTCGCGGAGCCCATACCTGTTCTCCTGTGGAGAAGACAAGCAAGTCAAGTGCTGGGATCTGGAATATAATAAGGTAAGCTTGGACATAGGGATTTAAAACATTATGAGCCACTGTTTTTCTTTCCAATTACAGAAATTTTAACTTTCCTGCTGTGTTTGTAGGTTATAAGGCACTATCATGGACACCTGAGTGCAGTGTATGGTCTGGATTTGCACCCAACAATTGATGTGCTGGTAACCTGTAGTCGAGATTCAACTGCACGGGTAAATGGAACAGAGCCTTGTGTTTATTTGTGACTATATTGCATCTCACAGTACGCACGTCTGGTAGTGGAAGTCATACTTTGTTTGACAGAGAATTAAAGATAGGTACTTGGACCCACCTGGCCCCTCGGTTTCTTGACTTGTACATTTCATACCTTTATCTTCAGTTCTGTGGCCTCACCAGGCTTATTATTGGGAGAGCTCTGTCCCTGAAATGCTCCGCTCTCGCATGTCCTTCCATCACCAACTGCCCTGCACCAGCACTTTCATTCAGTAGTCCCGTTATACCCATCCCTAGACTTTCAGTCCCCTGATCTTTTCTTTTAGCTCCGATCCCACCGCTGTCTCCTACCTTCAGCCCCTTTAAGTGCTTTCTTCATTATATTCAGGCCTGGCCGTGTGGTAGGTTCCCGGCCTTAAATTCGTTCAGGTACCTGCCTGAGACAGGAGTGCCTCTTCTCTTTGACAACATGTCAGTTGATGTCTAGTGTGTGTGTGTGCCTTTTTATAGATTTGGGATGTGCGAACTAAAGCCAGTGTGCACACGTTATCTGGACACACGAATGCGGTTGCTACAGTGAGGTGTCAGGCTGCAGAACCGCAGATTATTACTGGTACGATTGATGCTTTTCAAGCTTATCATATATTCATATCAATGCATTGTGATTGTGCATTTGAAACTTATCGTAGTAATACTTCATTTTTATGTCATATTTTTTAAAGATTTTATTTATTTTTAGAGGGGAAGGAGAGAGGGAGAGAAAATCAATGTATGGTTGCCTCTTGTGCATCCCCTCCTGGGAACTGGCCTGCAACCCAGGCATGTGCCCTGACTGGGAATCGAACCGTGATCCTTTGGTTCGCAGGCCGGCGCTCAATCCACTGAGCTATACCAGCCAGGGCATATTTTTTTTAATATCATAGAATGTAAATATCATGTAAGGTCTGACTAGAAAATGGTGATATAAGGTAAATTAAGCATTATTTCATAGTATCAGATTTATTGGTCTAGAAAATTTTTTTAAGAATGTATTTATTTTAGAGAGAGGGGAAGGGAAGGGGAAGGAGTCAAACATCAGTGTGGGAGAGATACATCAGTAGCTTCTTGGCACACTCCCACCTGGGGACTGGCCTGCAACCCAGGCACGTTCCCTGACTGGGAGTCGACCTGGCCACCTTCTGGTTTGCAGGCCAGCACTCAGTCCACTGAGCCACACCAGCCAGGGCTGGTCTAAAAAATTAAAGTTAGAATACAGGCCACCCTGAGACCAATAAGCTTTAGAACAAGTTTAAGTCATGTTTTATATAAAATAAGATTAGTAACGGTAGATCTTTACTCTTAGACTAGAAAATAATTCCATGATATATTAACTAAAATATCAGTTGAGTTTTTTTCCTCCCCTTGCACAAGGGGATGACATCATGTATTTGTTTTATTTGTTACTGGCACCTGTTCAGACTATTCAGTTAATAGTACATCAAGCATATATTACATTTTTTTTAAGAAATAAATTTAAAACCAGCCCTGGCCAGTGTGGCTCGGTTAATTGGAGCGTAGTGCCATACCAGAAGGTCACAAGTTCAATTCCCAGTCAAGGCACGTATGAGAAGGCAGCCAGTTGGTGTTTCTCACATCAGTGTTCCCCCGCACTCCTTTTTCTTCTTCTCTTCCTCTCTCTCTAAAAGCAGTGAAAAATATTCTTGGGCAAGGATTAAAAAAATTTTTTTAAACCAACCTAAAATTTTGGGAGGTCAAAGCAGTTAGCCAAGAGTTGGTAATGACTTCTGTTTGGTACATATGTGTCTGGGAGAACACATCGTGGTTTATTACAGTTTCGAGTTCTTTCCCTGATGTGTGTTTTCGTCACAGGAAGCCACGACACTACAATACGATTATGGGATTTGGTGGCTGGCAAAACAAGAGTCACATTAACAAATCACAAAAAATCTGTCAGGGCTGTGGTGTTACATCCGAAACAGTAAGTGTGTTTCCCTAATTCGTTTCTCTTCCTCCTCCAGTTTTTGGGATAGGGCAGGAATACCAACATTAGTACTGCTTTGGTAGTCATTTAGACACTCATTTCCAGGCTTGTTCTGCTTATGAACATGCATTTCTTTTCCTTCCATATTTTGCTTTCTGCTCTATAGATGAAGAAAGTTTTCTGCATGGTAATTAATGGTAATGTCAAATGAAACTATGAATAAATCATGTTTAAAAGCTGCATGTCAAAATAGAAGCTAAGGGTAGCTAGATTTAACGTTTGGGCTAAGTATTGTTTTTTGTCACTTGAGAGATAGAATAGTGTAGTTCTTAAGGAGGAAGTTAATATACCTGGGGGCGGGGGGTAGGAACTAAGAACATTGCAGCCAGGTATCCAGAGAACTGGTGCATAATATTCCAGGCTACTTTTGTTACATCACATCACCCCGACCTTTTCTGTTCATATTCATGTCTTTCTCTTCGTCCCCTCCCTCTCTTACTCTTATTCCCTCTTCTACTTTTCTCTTTCCCTGTCTTCCTCAGTCCCTTTTTCTCTCTTCCTCTCGCCCTTGTTTCTTTCCTCTCCTCCCGTTCTTCCAGTTGTCCTCCCTGTTCGCTTGCTTCTCTTCTTTCGCTTTCTCTTCATTCCCTTTGTTCTCTCTTGTCTTCTCTCTCTCACCTTCTCTCTCATTCTGTTTTTCTCTCTCTTCTCATTTGTTCTCTCCTCTCTCTCTCATTCCCTCCCTGCCCCTCCCCCCATAACAGTTGCACAGCCCATTACCTTTTATGTGAATTTATTGCTGTAGCTCAGTATCAAGTATTGGGGAAATGAGAGGACAATAAAACATCAATCTTGGCCTTAAAATACATTTGAAGTAATTTGAAAATCTGATTTAACCTGGGACAAATGTCTTGATGTTTTTACCTCTTGCTATGACAGTGACGTTTGGGTTAGACTACATGGATCACTGAGTACAGGTGCTAAGTAAATATAGCCATGATAAGCTGCTTTAAACTCACCACTTTTATGTAACCTGGTTTATTTTGTTAATTGTTTTTAACCTTATTTCAGCTACACATTTGCCTCTGGTTCTCCAGATAACATAAAACAGTGGAAATTCCCTGATGGAAGTTTTATTCAAAACCTTTCTGGTCACAATGCTATTATTAACACATTGACAGTAAATTCTGATGGAGTGCTTGTATCTGGAGGTAAAATAAAATTTCTGATAAATACGTTTTTAGTCTTTCATTTTTTCTTTTAGTGAATGAGTAAACGTTTGGGAAATTCCTGAGCCATCACCCCTAAGTACTGTAGCAAATCTTACCTAAGTAACGTGTATTTGAATGTTCTAATGTGTGCTCATGCTTGTTCATAATACAGGTAGCATATTGCATAGTTCAGTCTTCTTCGAGTTCCCACGTGATACATCTAAGTCCGAGATTTATGCTGGGACTCACCTGAAGTTTAGTTGTGTATTCTGGAATTGGATAGCATTTTGTGTTGCTTTTTGAGATCTGTAATAAATTCCGAATTAAGCACAGATGAAAGTGGACAAACCAGTATTAAGAGAAACTTTTGCCTGTGTCTTGTATATCTTTATAACTGTAGTTAATGCCATAGTGCTCTGCTAATGGTTGGGTGCTTACTGCTTATTGAGCTGAATTATTGAAGGGGTATCCAGTGTTACTCATCTTTCTCTTTAAGCTGACAATGGCACAATGCATCTTTGGGACTGGAGAACTGGCTACAATTTCCAGAGAGTTCATGCAGCTGTGCAGCCTGGGTCTTTGGATAGTGAATCAGGAATATTTGCTTGTGCTTTTGATCAGTCGGAAAGTCGTTTACTAACGGCTGAAGCTGATAAAACCATTAAGGTGTACAGAGAGGATGACACAGCGGTAAGTTCTCGCGTATTCATTAAATTAAGTCAGCTGTACAGATTCTGCCAGTGTTTTCTTATTTTAAAGTTACTGAAATTATCAGAAGGGAAAATAATCTTTATAGTATTAAAGTATTTATATTGAGTGGTGTCTGCTTGTAGCTTTCTGTATTGGTTTCATTGATGACAACAAATCCATAGATTGTTTTAATTCCAACTTTCCCCATTACAATTACTGGGAAAATGTTGTACTGAAAACAAATAGATGGCTATGCAAATAAATTCTAGAGTCATCACCTTTGGTGTTATTAGAATATCTACACAGCAACTTTATTTGAGATGAAAAACCATGAAGTGGATATACAGTGAACTCATTCATCCTTTATTAGATCCAGACAATGCCAAAAGTTTGTCAGCGGTTTATAAAATTGTTAAATAACTTATGAGTAAGTTATAATGCCAAGTAATATAATTTAGAACAGATACCTTATTTTTGTTAGAAAGGAAGTTATTAAATATGAAGTAAACTGATCCTTTATTTTCTTGTTTACTTTTTGATTTTTAGACAGAAGAAACTCATCCAGTCAGCTGGAAGCCAGAAATTATCAAGAGGAAGAGATTTTAATGTGGCATTCTCTTCACGAAGTTTTTTTTTTCTTTTTCTTTTTTTGTTTTTGTTTTTGTTTAGCCTGGTGTTGATGAGGATATGCAGTCATTCTGTGCTCTGGCTAGGATTATAAAGCAGAAACTCACATGCTTGAATCATTGCTGCTTAATATTTTACAATAAAATGTGTTGTCTCCCCCTCCCCATGTTTTTATTTCTAAAGTAAATAAATAACTTGACGTCTAGAAAGATGTAGATATCAAGCACATGCAGGTTTATCAAGTATAACTATGCTAAAGATAGAATATTTTGTCAATTTTATTAAAAGATACCTTTTTTTCCTTTTAACTTACCAAATCGTGTGTCATAATAGACTTGTTTTGAGGGGAGTGGTTTGGTTTCTTTTTTAACTTCTTTAAAGCTAGTATCTGTGACTGATAACTTTGTGTTAAAGGATTTGAAGTCTTAGTTTAACTTACATATGTTGGTTCCACAGACAGTTTCTGAGTGCATGATCTGCCAAGTTCTACACTAGGTACCGTTCCGGATACAGACAGAGAAGATGCGTCTGTCCTCCACACGTCTGGTTTACTGCAGAACGCTGGGATGGAGGTGGAAGGGAAAAGCTGGGGTAGTGCAGAGGAAAAGACTTTTTTTCTGGGAGGATTGGGGAAGACTTCATAGAGTAAGTGGTATCGGAGCAGAACCTCGGGAGGGCAGAGCAGGAAATGGGTGCTCGAGGAGGAAACAAAGTAAATGCAAACCAGCCAGGTGTGTGACGGTGTCGCGTGCTGCAGGGAGAGTATGGTATGCGGCCGTGGAGTGTGCACACGCCTGGTTGGTGGCGGGGGAAGCTCAGGTGCCGAGTTTGGGCTGGTTGTAGGTGCCAGGATAGGCATCGAAACCTGGAGAACTAACTGGAGACACCGACAGAGCTATTTGAAGCTGGAGCGAGGGCTGTGTAGTCTTTCCTTTGTGAAGACTGTAGAAAAGTGTTAAGTTTCCAATACTGATGGCTCTTTTTGATGAACGTGAGTTTTATCAATCCTGCCCATAGGATCCTGACTCCCCATCAGTCGAGATTTGTCAAACTTCACTATCTGTAGTTAGAAAATACAGTTGTAAGAATAATTGGCCCACCATTTTTAATGAAAAATTACAATTTTGGATAAGCATTTCCAAATTACACATTTGATCTTGCATGCTGTAGGTGGGAGTGTAATTGTTACAACTTTTAGGTGGATAGTTTTCTGCAATATATTGAAAGTGCTTGACCTCTTTGGCTAATTCTTTATTAGAAACAAAATTACTAGGAAACTTCCTAATAGGAATAATCTGACAAGTGTACACAAGCAAGTTTATTGCACCTCTGTCCTTTCATAGTTAAAGCTAGCCCCGTCCTGTCGATAAGGGACTGGTTTAATAGATTATGATACTTTTGTGGAATTTATTTTCATTAAGAGTGAAGAATGTCTTTGGACTAATAAGATGTCCAAACTTTACTTTTATGTAAAAAGTGCAAGCACTGGTAAAAGAACCTGTTAATGCTCTAAAAGGTAATGGAGAAGTAGCACCACATTGTTATCAGTGGCTTTGTGAGGGAGTGGGATTATGGGAGAACTTTCCTGATTGGCTATATATTTCTATGTTTTAATTTTCTATAAGCATGTATTGTAAATTTAAATAAATTTAAAAAACCACTACACTTGCATCCCTGACAGATTCTAATATGAATTCTAACAGAAGAAAACAAAGATGGTCCCCATTATCCTGCCTAGCAGAGCTTCCACCCTCACATTAGGCCCAAGTACCAAATTCTAAATAGCATTTCAACAGTCCATTTCCCTGCTTCATGATTCCCTGTACCATGGTGTTCTTGAGTCCTTGGCAGACAGTTCATCCACCATGCGTAGTTGTGAATCCCATGAAAATTCAAGTGGAATTTCATGTGTGTGCCCTTCTCTTGCTTTGGCAGAAGCCTAACACAAGTTAAACCCAAACCTCTTACTGTGCCTGTGCCTTCGGTACTCGAGTTGTAAGCAGTTAGCAGGACAGACAGCTGTGCTACTGGACTTCTGACTTATGACCGCATACCTCAAGGGGGCTGTCAGTAGTGACCACTTAACGTATTTCCACAGTTTATGCTGCCTCTTCGCTGCCTCTTAAGAAGGACGAGCTCCCCACCTAGGAACAAGTTGGGCAGTGTACAGTTGTTAACTGAACCACTCAGGGACTTTGCTCCCATGATTCACCTCTTTCTCTTCACAAATTCCTTCCTGCTTTACCAAATGATTTCCAAGAAACTTAGGTATTTAAATAAATATGCCTGACTGTAAAAAGATAATTTATGCTTGTCTTTAAAAAAAAACAAAAACCTTAACATTCCCTTCTAAGTGTATACACTCAGTTTCTGTTTCCTTTTATTATCAAACTCCTAGAAAGTTTGTGGGTCAACTGACTTGGACCCACAAATAATGAAAAATCTTAAACATTGTTCTTAGAAACATTGTTGACATTATTGCAGATGTCCCCATTTTGTCCCTCCTTGCTCCTCCCCTCTGATTCACCACGTGGTTGTCCATGTGCAGAAGGTGAAGGGACTAGTCAATGCACTTAAAATTCTAGAACCTAGGTAAGAAGGAAAGCTTTCACATGTTTTACAATGAGAGTGTAACAAAGATACCCAGATCCACTGAAGCATAAGTACGATTTCATACTGCTTGTCAATGTCAGTGCAGGAGTTTATGAAGTCTAATAAAGGATCAAGTAGCACATGCCCAAGTGAAGTCATCCTAAAAGTGCAAAGAAGTTTTTTTCTTAGGAAATATTATCATTTACCATACCGGTTTGTGTAAGTGGAAAAATTATGAGCAGAATGTAACTGGAAGCCAATTGGCAAAAAAAAAAAACCCTGGAAAAGGGTGGTGTTTTGACCTTTGGCCACACAGTGTTCATCACCAAGTGGAGGATAGGATATGAGTCTGGGGTCATCTGTCAAGTAAATACCCAGCAATTGCTTATGTGAGAATGACATAGATGTAGAATTTCATCTTAAAATACAAATACAAGGATGGTGTTTTGGTTCATTTCTTCGTATGCATACTTTTGGTTGCCTGTTCTGGCACTCAGATATTTTAAGTGTTTTTTTGGGGAGTGGGCAAACAAATATCCCTGATAACTGGAATGTGAGGTGTCGTAAAACAAGTGCCACACTAGAGGTCCCTTTGGAATAGCCGTAGAAATGCCAAAGAAAAGTTCATTCAGACCTGGGCCCCTGAAGAAGCTTTAAGAATCAGTGGCATTAGAATGGCACTTGCATAATGAAGGAATAGGAAAGGGGAAAACATGCTTAGATAGACAGAGAGATCAGAGCCAGAGGTGAGAAAGTAGGAAGTGTGTCCTGGGAATGGCCAACATTCAGTGCACCTGAGTGGGAAATAAGGGGTGTGGATTTGGGATGGGGACTCAGTCCAGTCACATGGAAACAGCAGCTTGTTGGAGGAGAGACTTGAATATTGAGCTAAAGATTTGGTTTCTTTTCTGCCAAATAATGAATAGGCAAGGGGAAGTCATTCAAGGACACTTGGAACCATGGAAAAAGATCAAGACCAAGTGTATTTGAGGCCAGATTATTGAAAGTAGAGAGCAGTAGGTCTCTACCTGGTGGGACTCAGGGCCCCCCCCGCCCAACAGACATTCACAGGTGTCTACCCTGGGGAATCTTCATAATACCTACTATGAATCATTGCTTTGTTCGCTCACATCAGCCAAGCCCAATTTTGTCCATATTTCTTTTGCTAGTATTCCAAAAAAATTAATTTTAATACAAAATATATAATTCAAAACATGATTTGTCAAATTATATTAATGCTACACTCATAAGCTACTGAGGTAAATGTAAATTGCTAAAGTTATTTTGTGAACAATTTGACAATGCACATTATATTTTATTCACCAATGCATTGTCAGCACATAGAACAGTATCTGACACTTAGTAGGCACTCAGTATGTTTTGTTAGATAATTGAAGTCAGATATTCTAGGTAACTGGGAAATTAGAAAAATTGTTTTCCAGTGATCTGATTTGATTTTTCACTTTTTTAGTAAAAGTAAATTGTTGAATGAATTGTTAAACAATGAAAGATTGAAAGTAATTTTAATGAAGAAAATTTATACTTTTATGAATTTAAAATGTAATTAACAGCACTTAGCAAACATTGATTTAGAAGGTACTTTGGTGACATGAAGGTGAATTTAGGACATATGAGTTGTATTTCACACTGAGAAAAAGTAGCAACTGGAACTGGAATAGAAATCACCCCTAGAAAAGCAATATTTGATTGATATCTCTGCCATCATTTTCAGAAATATGTTTATTGATTTTAGAGAAAGAGGAAGGGAGAGGGGGAGAGAGGGAAATACTGGTTGCCTCCCATTTGTGCCTCGACTGAGATCACACCTGTAACCTAGGGATGTGCCCTGCCTGGGAATTGAACCTGCAGTCTTTTGGTGTTTGGGATAATCCTCCAACCAACTGAGCCATGCTGGGCAGGGCACTGACATCATTTTAAAAATAATGCTTGGGAATTTCTTTAAAACTTTCAGACAATTTCATTTTTCCACCATCAGCAATATCCTGATGATCCATCTTATCACACTGTCTTTTCTCCTGATCAAACAGCTGCACCTCCAGAGAAGGCAAGGGCAGTGGTTCGGAGTACAGCCGCAGAACTACCCACGCTGGTGTGACTGTCGGTCCAACCACTGATTGACAGGTGCAGCGCCCCTGCTGGCGGGTTACTAAACTTCTCTGATCTCAAAAGTAGGGTAACAGTAATACCAACCCCACAAAGTTGTTGCGCCTCTTTAAAAACCAAATAGTCATAACAGGACTTGGCAAATAGTGAACACTAACTCTATTAACTATTATTTTCCTGGATACATTGACTTTCATCATTTTTAGTTGCTGCTATTTTTAAGTCTTTTATAATTGCCTAAAAAGTGTTACAGATTCTTCACTCTCACTTCTAGCTAGAGTTGGTAAATTAGAGTTCTATACTCTAGGGCACTGATCTCTCCCAAGGTGATTGGAAAAGCCGCTCTTTTTTTCTTCACTTGCAAAGCAAGCTGTCCCTGGGCAACACCATCTACAGTCTCGGAAGGAGCAGCTATGCCATTTGCAGACTTCCCTTAGAAACATGTT